TGTGGTCCCGGTATTCCAGTATTCTGTTGTCACAAGCAGTCGGAGCGCATATCCAGGGTTGCCAGACCCCAGCAATCAATAAAAGCCAAATCAGGACATAAAAAAAGCCAGAAAAAGCCAAAATTTTACTAAGTACAAAAGCCCCATGATTTGTCAGATTTTAAGCCCTTGGCAACGTACTGATGACAATGTAGAGCCATCAGTTCATTCAGTGAGGCACACAAATAGAAAGTAAAGTTCCTATAGAACTGTAGAAAGTAAAATAAATATCAAGCGGGCAGCATTATTTTACCATTCAATATATACAATATAGGGTGCCGCTTCAGTCTGTCAGTATGTAATATACCTCCAATATGTTTCTACTTAAACTTGTGCTACACCTTAAAAATTTCTCCCTGTATCGTACTTTACTATTGAACAATTTTTCCATTTTTAAAATTTATAAACCATCAATTTTAATAAAAAATTATCTAACCCCGTGCCGCTCACAGGTGGATCACTGATATCTAATTCAGTAATTTTAGCGTAGTTAATCACATCGTTACTGCAATTGCAATTGCAGAATTAAACTGAAGCTGAAAGCTCACATAAACCATATCGGGCATAATGAAAATTGAGTTATAGGCCTACAACTATTTTTTGGAAACAGAACGTAAACTGACAAATAACACGCAAAACTATAAAAACGAGGCAATGTTTCCAACCCTGCTTGAACATCTGTCTGAGCAGCTGCAGAAACTGCACTTATTTCTTATTGGGTATGGTTAAGAGGTAATGTAACAAACAAGAAAATCGATGCTCCAGGAAATCCTAATGTTAAGAAGCTAAGTAGGCTACAGGTAATAGGCTATTGTTAAGTTGTTACACACTAAATATTGTATTTCATATGATTTTATTAATAGACACTAGAATAGACTTGAAAAAAGCCAAAAAAACGCCAAAAAGCCAAACGGAAATTCTGACGCCAAACGCGTTTGAAAAAAGCTAAAAATGGCAAATTTGGCGTTAAAAAAGCCAATATGGCAACCCTGCGCATATCCCACAGAGCACGGCGCGTTGGCAGAATCTCATGGTCTAGTGCAGGGGTTCTCAAACTTTTGGTGTTGCGGAGCCCTTGGAAAGGTTGACTATTATTCACGGAGCCCCAAATTAAATGTTAAAGTTGTTACTTTCAGATTAATATTCCTGAGCAAGGTAAAAGTACTTTACTTTATTTAAATGCTGAACCTTAGGGTTAATACAAGTCATACATAAATCTAAATTTCAAACATAAATTATATATACACTAAAGCTGTAAATTTGACACTTGACAAACATATTAATAAATAAGGGGTCGAATCTTTTCCCTTTTGACATTTTTGGAAGACTTAAAAGGCCGCTAATAACGTGCGCAATTGCATTTTGTTACAATCGCCGATTTTTTTCGTCAGCATGGCGTGTCTTTGAACCTTTTAACATCTTTACGCCGGTGTTTATTCTCCCTAAATCAAAAATTTCCCTCGGCATATATATACATGTATAGTTACACAATGACGACGTTATTCGCTTTTTTGTTCTCGTGGGGAATTATGAGTTCAATGTGAAAAACATGTTACCATATTATAGTCATCGTTACGAAATGCTAAAAATAATAATTAATAAAGAGATAAATCCGCAACTCAAATTTCTTGATTGAAAAGCGGCATTCTAAAATAATAAAACTAAAACTTAAAATGGAAGATCACAGGTTTGGTTTCAGCAGACTCACCTCAGATTGAAAACGTATTTATAGACATTGTAAATCACAAAAATTGGTGTTATGTTAGGTTTTCATCGTAGTAACTGCGAAATAGAAACAGATTCAATTGTGCGCGCGATGTACCTTTTCCCCCATTTTGAAACTACCGACGGAGCCGCACGCAATCAATTGTGCGCGCTCCGCGATGTACTTTTTTTTCATTCTGAAACTACCGACGGAGCCGAATGCAATAAAATAAATTTCAATTGTTCGTTAAATGCTCGCATCGGTCATGGATTAAATATTTTACGCAATAGAAATCTCGTTATCCGTTTTTTTTTTAATCGCGAAGAATGTTGCGCGGAAATTTCCGATTCCAATTTTGAACCACCACCCTCTTAAGAATCCTGGCTGCGCTTCTGCTTATAAATAATGTCATTTTTTAATTCCGCCTCTTTGCCATATTCCGAGGCTATTTTGTTGTCAGATTTTATCAAAGCTGTTATTGCTTCTTATTATAACAGTTACAAAACTAGTCAGTATTTTGAAAAGTAATCCAATAGCTCGCGGAGCCCCTGGGTTTCTCTCGCGGAGCCCTGGGGCTCCGTACGGAGCACTTTGAGAACCTATGGTCTAGTGAGAATGACGTCATCGGAAACACCGCGCTCATTAAAATTTCAATGAACGATTATTAAAAATCTTGACCATGTTTATCATAATAAAAATATCAAAAAGGATGTAAAAAATATTCTATCCTCAAAACTGCTCACGTATACAATGAAAGATATCTAGAAAATTACATAAAATGCAAATTTCTGCTCTGGTGATCACATTCCCCATAAGAGCTAATATTAAAAAAAAATCACTTTTTACATCACTTTTCTCTTTGCGCGTAGGATGGGTTTTTAATGAATAAGGTCTATTGGAATTTATCCCACCGTTCTGACCCGTCTTTTGCTCAGACATATGTTCAAGCATGGTTGTAAACATTGCCTCCTTTTGGTAGTTTTGCGTGTTATTTGTCAGCTCTTTTAGTTGTGCTAATGATTTGGTTTCGGCAAGACTAACTACTTATCTTTCTTCTATGGTTTTGTGCCGGTGGAGTTGTGTTTCCAAAAAAAAATAGTTGTACAGTGTAGCGAATGTACATTGTGTAACTATGGATTCGCTACAACAGTATATATATCAAATACCTCAACTGTCATTATGTCTTCCGAGGACCTTCAATTTAGTTACAATAATCAAAAATTGATACCGCAAACGCTGCGATAGACTAGCCTAAATTACATTATTATTATCTATCTACCTATAAGCGGCACGTGATTTATTTTTTTGAATAAAAATGAGAGTTTTGAACATGTGAGCCAGTATGTAAGCGTCAACTGTGCAAAACACTCTCAAGATTAGCGCATCTCTCGGCAAGTCCGAAAAACGCCATTTTTCACGTTATTCTCCCCGCTTGACATTTTTGTTGGACGCGATGTGGACCTATGGATTGTTTTGTTATTATTGTTCTTGTTGGTATTATTCTTGTTGTTGTTACAGTATGAAAAAAATCGTCTTTCTCATTAACTACTGGATCGATTGCTCAGAGATTTTCTGTGGCCAAAGATTGTATTTATTCATTCCAAAACTATCTGTCGACTCTATGTGATTCACTTTTCACTTCGCAATTTTGAGTGATGACCTCTTTGAAAATAATACAAAATATTTGTAGCGATTTTTCGACCTCTATCGTGTCACTCTTTTAGTATGCGGAAGCCGCGAGTTTTTGACTGTATCGGTACTGTATAGGGTAGACGAAAGATCGAAATAAAATTGTATTGTATAGACCAGTGGTTCTACCCCTGGGGCTTTTTCGCTAATTTGCGCACTTTGTGGCGGTTTCGCGAACGCATATCAGCGGATCTCGTGCTCAGCAAACGTTGACGGATCTCGTGCTTAGCGATAGTGGGAAATTACCGGTCGGAAGTCGGAAATTCCCGTTACCGGTGCCCGGTGTAGTCGAGTTGTCCGGCTCCTGATACGGCTGGTAAGCTATCGCATATGATTTTCGAAAAAGAGATGATAAAATATTTAGTCCGATACTGCTACTGGTAAGTTACCGCAGAGGATTTTCGGCAAATTGATTATAAAATATTTAGTTTCGCTCTCCGTGTCTACACATTTAAGCATTGTTTTATTGTTGTTTAATTACGATAATACTCCTGTAACATTGTAAATGTACATTTTAATGCAGTGGCAATGTCGACTAAAACACATATATATACACAGGGCGTTTCGCTAACAGACAAAGACGTCAAAATTGGGTGTTATATTTGCCTTATAGCGTTATTTGTTCTTTTGCTTTCAGTGCATATGATATTTCGAGTTTAATATTTTGATCGATATTGAATGAGCACAATGAGAGCCAATATCGCGTATGTTTGAACAACTTTTAGCGGGCTGTTTTGTAAAATTCATCAAAGCAGGTCTCTAATAAAGCAACGCTTCTAAGATTTCCGAACGGATAGCCTATATTGATCTGAATAATATTCAGTTATGTAGAATTGTCATTTAGTAAGTTTTGTCAGAAAAAAGAGACCGAATCTCGGACCCACTAGCAAAGATATTGTTCACTTTTTATTTTACGGTCGCTATAAGGACGATCAAAGCCGACATGAAAGATAATAATAAGATTGAAATTACTTAGGACAGCGTGGTCCAAGGTTGCTAGATTGAAGGGCCGCAAAAACTTTTGAGGAGGGCTTGCGGGCCGCTGTCGGGGAAAACCCCTAAAGTGATCAAAATACATCGAGTTTGGTTATTTCAAATATATTAAAGAATGAAAGTTCACCGTTCCAATCAGCTTATTGTTATGTTGCATGGATGGCGTTTTTTCCCTTCAAGATGTTACCCTTTAGTTCTTCAAAATTGCTTCCCAAGAAGTACCGTAGTATTTCTCAGTTAGCATTAAATTATACTCTTTTGTAACAAATATCACTTGAAAGCACACCAGACACTGTGGTTTACCATTGTTGTGAGCAAAAAAATACTTTCCCTCTCAGTTAGCATTGAACTTTTTGTTTTCCTCTGTCATCTTTCTTTTGACACTCATTTTATGATTAATTGGCATCTTGACAAGTTCCGGGAACTGCCTCTCGCCACGTCTCGCCTGATCCCCAGTTGGAATAGCTAAAAAATAACTTAAAAATGTTCTGCCAATAAATACAAATATCTGCCAATGGTTTTGTGCAGTGGTCGGCAACTTTTTTTATATGACGGACCGATGAAGCCTGACCAAAATTTTGGCGGACCACCTTATGTAATACGTTATACGTGTTAGTAAATATGTTGACAATATACTCAAAAAACGAAGGTGGTGATATTTGTATTTGTTTGTTGGCCATCAAACGTTCCTAATTTGGAGATATGGTAGACAGTGATACACTTAACGTGTTTCTTACATCCAGCCAACTTCGATATTTTGTTTCTGCATTTGTTAATATTGAAAAACCCGGCCTCACATTGATAGATTTACGATCGCGAAGGGGAACAATAAAGCTTCTGTTGCCATGTCTGGGTATTATATGATGTTTGTTTAGCAATACCTAATTTTATTACCCGATGTAATAACTTTATGATTATCATAAAGTAGAGATTTAGCACTGACTAAGTACAACACACTGAAATAGACAAATAGTTCATATCACTGCTTTGTTTACATTGGGTCAAGTTTAGTTTATTTAATTTCGTAAAATATCGCTCGGGCCACATGTGGACAGAGGGCGGTGGGTTGGACGACCCTGTTATAGATGAAAAATCCAGACTTCTACGGTTAGATATACTAATAATAACAGGATATTGCTATAGGATGTATTACAGATCGTGTGATCGCTTGTCCTCAACTTGTGCTGCACGAAAATTGTGATTACACTAAGTAATAATAGGTATAATACTGAGGAACGAGTAGTACGGTAGCGTGCTAGTTTTTCCTCAAGGAGCGTACGCTGATTGTCCAACAACAATAGCTGAGTGGAATCGACTAATAAGAAACTTCTCGAAAAACAAAAACGTGATTCTGAGCTCTCATTGCCTTTGGTGGATAGTTTAAAAAGAGGAAATTGAAATCAGGGTTGTATACTATCACGTTTTGTGGCGTTTACTTATCTGTGGAATCGGTATAATTCAGTCAGACAGAATGCTTGGCGAGGGAAATGAATATTATAGATAGTGCTATATTACCTGCATTCTATAGTATTTAAGTTTAGTTTCCAACGATGTACTTCGGCTTTATAATTCTTAAACAGAATCTAACATCAGGGATAGCGAACATTCTTTACTGAATAGGCCGTGCATTATATTTTTATAATGAAACAGAAGAATATAGGTCATAGATTTAATAAATGAGATACTGGTATCAGAACTGGTATTCGACTTTAACCAATTAATTCACATTGTAGTTGAAAACCGCAAAGCCTTAACATCGGCTTAATTATATTTTATTTCAATGTGCCATATACGGAGGGGGACTTTCGAATGGCGGTTGGCACAATACACCGATATCCTTTTCCTATGTAATAAACGTTGAGACAGTGTTGTTGCTGGTAGCTTGATAACACCGGTATACCGCAACAACTACTATTATAGTATATATATATATAACTTAATTTTAGATTGAATTGAAGTCAGCCGTATCACAATTTTTCACTCAACGAAATGTTATCGCCTTTTTCGCAACAATTCGTGCGTAACTTGAAGGTTCGCCGAAAATATATAACCCCTCTGTCCAGGGATTTGCCTACTTTTGTGTTACATGTGCAATAATCCGCGGTTGAGAACCACCAGCATTTTAGTGTATTTTTTCTACGAGACTGCTTTTTATGATAATTGTTGAATTTGACCCGAGGCGGTTCTTAGTTACGCTTACAATTTGCCGCGTTCGGCAGTTGACAAGAACAGTCGTATTTGAACGAGTATTTGTCTATCATAGATGTGCATACAAAAATGAAAAGTAGCAAAATTTGCAACAACATTGTAGCATTGATTTGTTTAGTACTCGTTCTGTCGCGCTCAGAGAGTATGTTAGCTGGAAAGTCAGATCATGTTGAAAATTCGAAAGCACCATTCAGGTGTTTGAGAAAATGTTTATGCTCGGGGGATATGGAAACAATACTTTGTGAGTATTCCCCACCTGATATTATCAAGCATTTTCAAGCAAAATTGGGAGCTGCAAAAAGGTTATCAATCCGGAACTCCAAAATCGATCAGCTTTACAATGACACTTTCAACAATATGCTGCTGATGGCTGAGCTCACGATAACCAGGTATTCTCTGCTGCAATACGTGTTTTATGTTTGCTGTCCTTTTTTTAGTATATATATATAATAAATCATAATACCTTTTTATCCGTAGCACTCGAACGTGTCGCCACTAGTCTTAAAATTTGTTTTACGACAATTCATGGCGGATAGAAAGCAAACACAAATCATGTAGGTAGACAATATTCAAGTTTATAGCGGTACAGTTAAGCAAAGAAGCAAAGCAATTCTGTAATCACGGCACCGATTAGCTATGATTTTCTGCGAATGCTTTGTTATTTTTCATAGGTAAATAATTTTTTGATTTACTCAATCTGGATATTTCTTTAGATCTTATATGTATGGCATTGCCGAAAAGAGCTTGCAACAATTCCCACGTCTTACCCACCTCGATCTGTCTTTCAACAAGATCGAAATTGTGGGTAAACCCGTATCATTTATGGATAAGCATTTCAATTGGGCAGTCGCTCATCTTCCAAACTTCATGACGTCAAAATTACTACGGTATGTCGATTTGTCCGGAAACAGTATTCGGCATATTTCACAGGAACAGCTGTATGGAATGAAATATGTACAACACTTAAATTTATCAAGTAACAACATTCTTCGTATTGACTCAGGATATACTCTCTTAATGGGACTAAAAGAACTTGATTTGAGTTATAATCGGATCACGGAGGTCGACGTTAAGTTTGGAGCATCCCAACTGTTACTAGAAGAATTATACTTGTCGCACAATTATATACGTAAAATACCAACGTTGGAATATTTCAGCTGTGCACATCTGGAACGTATGGATGTTTCGTTTAACGACTTGCATGAAATTATGTCAGTGGGAATATCACACTGCTCAAATATCAAGTATCTTAATTTGGAAAATAACAAAATATCGTTGATTAAAGATTCCGATTTTCAATTCCTTACTGAACTCGAAATACTGAATGTTGCACGGAATCAAATAAAATCTATTCAAAACGGCAGTTTCGATTTTAACTCAAAACTTCAAGAATTATATATCAGTGACAATTCAATCACGCATATTGATGATTTCACATTTTTCGGATTAAAATCAGCAACAATTATGGACTTATCAAAAAATCGTATCACTTTTGTCGCTGAAAATACTTTCAACAGAAACGTGTGGCTTTGTTATTTATATCTCCATGGTAATAAAGTACATCACATTGCCCCGAAAACATTCAAAAATTTGCCCCTTTTGCGAATAGTGAACTTGAGCGATAATTTACTTACTACGCCGTACTCATCGTGGTTTTTATCTCCCAGTGGAGAGTTCTACTTTAATGTAACAGCACTCAAAGTGGAAGAAAGAATTCGCACGACAACTGCAACTTTCCTAACGTCTGGCAATAATTGGATGTGTGATTGCAGTACAAAAGATTTCCACAGGTGGGCGTTAGGACAAACCAATTCGAGTGGACAGGCTACTGCTTCGCCGAGAATAGTCTGTTATTCTCCCAGTTTCCACAGCGGAAAGAATTTACTAAAACTTGAAGCGGCCAAACTTAGCTGCGATACCATGTTTCATGCCAAATATTTTATACTTTATCACAAAAGATATTTTTTAATGTCTACTTTAATTATTTTGACATTGGTTGCGTATTTACGAAAAGCCGCGTTGGCAAAAAGAAGGTTTCATAATTTATAGCGTATAAATTCTTGAGTTGTTATGTACAATTGCATGTCAATCGAGTGACTCTTATGTTATTAAGCATTGAGTATATATTCTAATTTCGAAATTTTACTTTTTCAATAACGTGATATTATTTGTATTGTATTTTTTACCTTGTTCAATTCAGCAGTGCAATATTCTTGTTTTATTATAATTTATTCATTTCGTATTTAAATTAATATTAAAGTATATATAGTTAATATCAATGAAGGTAAAATGCTTATCCAAACTCTTACTAAAACGCGGGAAAAGCAACAGACTTGTGTGTGAATAATTCCATTATATATAAAAGCAATCCATGTACTTTTATTTATTGAATTAATTTATTTCAAACAAAACAACAAAACAAAAATGTAGAAATAGTATTATACATGTTATTGTTAACAATAATAACTGAAAGTAGTCTTAACATTGTGTTGTAATAATCATATAAAGCGACAAGCATCTATGCAGTATAATTATATCTTCCATCTGCATTCGGTTGGATAATTTTCTGGTATCCTTTCTCTTCTTTTACTCGTCGTCGGCATTGTTTGATAGAACGTACCATAATGACGATTATTCCGATAACAATGAAGATTCCGATTACGCCAACAATGACAAGGATGAATTGAGGCATTATTTCATTTTCTAAAGAACAATAAACCGTTAATGAGTTTGTTGACTTGATCATTTTCAATAGACAATGATAAAAACCAGTTTTGACCGCTGAAAATACATCGTGGTTTAATACACAAATACTGTAATATGTTCCGTTGTAATTATATTTACCTGGAAATTCCACTTCGTAGGTGTAGCCCAACTCGCTTGCGCGAACGAACATGTCTCTGTTCCTTACTGGAGGGAAGAATGGAACCATGTTGTAGTCCAGGTTATGTCCGATTGGGGCAAAACGTTCTGGAAAGTCTGACGTCGTTGGGTTTTCTCTAAAATGAAAAGACCGCAGAAATGTAATTTGAGAACGTCTAATTTGTAGATTTGATTTAGTTTAGTTGCTTACTTGGATTTTAAGTGTCGAACATTTCTCAAAAGAATTTGAATATTTGCCAGGCATAAAATATAGATAGGAAATTTTAATTTAGATTTTGAATTGTACTATATAGTAAAATTTACCTTATCATCCACTCCTCAAATATAGCATCAGTGAAGGCATGTAAGAGAATGAAGATCGGATCATTAGCGCTCGCGTGAGTTTGTCCTCCAGTTCCATTCAGAAATAAATGGGCCAAATTATGAAGAGTTCGGGCTCCCTCAGCAAATTGACCGTCAACCTCAGCATAACCTTAATATATATGAATGAAAAATACATATTTTAAAGTAATCGAAACATATACAGCATTGGCTAGTAAACGTGCCATACACTTTATCAAATTAGAAAAAAAAATCATCAACTTACCTTCCAATGTATTTCTAAAGCTCTGGTCAGAATCAGAGAAAAATGGAAAAGTATCATACTTGGTCACACCAAGGCAAGTTGCTACATCAGAAGGCTCTGGAAGTTTTTGTACCAGGGGTCGTTCAACATTTCCTCCTGGGTTGCGAAAGATTGGTCCTTCATAAGTTCCGTTGCACAACTGAAATATTAAAACAAATTGACATTTTTGTTAGTTATGACCTTCAACAATAGGTTCGAATTTCATAATAAAATATAGTTTTAAAATCTGACCTTGATATTGTCATCAAACCAGTCGAGGCTGAGGCAGACGATTTGCCAATCAGAAAATCGCGAGTTGGGGCTAAGTCGAGAAGGATCATTAGGATGTCTTGCGCCAAGAAGTTCATCGGTGCATATGTCACATTCAGAACCTTTTAAAAATGGAAATGCAGTTAAATATATAGAAAATACGTCACCTACATTTCGCATCAACATAGGACTAGTCACAAGGATGTTCGAAGGAAGTTATACTAAGCCATTTTCGGAGATAACAAATATGTGTCTCCAGATATTTCTATGCATACCAGCGTTTTTTTAGTAATAAAGTTGGGTAACAATCCACAAATATTCAAGACAATTCAACTTTGTAGAGTGATAATTTAATATGTGTTCATTTTAAAACTTACCACCGATAGCAAAATTCCAATAAGGAATAGCAAGATCTTCAATTCCAGTCATTCGTTGCAAGTCTTCTTCTAGGTTGAGAAGATGCATTCTGTGCCAAGTCAAGAATGCTGGACCTTCGTGAGAGAAATCAATTCCGACAAATGCCTGGCCAGGCCCAAGTAAGGTGTCTCTGACACTGTAGTAATGGACCCAAACAAACAAGTCGTAGATAGAAATGTCGACATAATTTGGCTCCGATGTTCCGTTTTCACCAAGAAGATTTCTGAAATATGATATGAACATTTAGATGTCTCATAACCAGGCTCTGAAAGGGTGGACAACTTCGTAAAATAATGATCGTTTAAAAAGTTTATTTAATTATTTCGTTTTCGCAGAGCTGTCGTCTGCAGTAATTACCTGTAATGGTCTCTTGCTACAACATAATCTGGGTGAGGTGTTGTCTTTGCCTTGTCTAAAGCATCTAAAAACAAGTTGGCGTCTTCCTGTGACATTGATCTGATGTCGCGTCTGACTACAGGCGGACGACGTTGATCACATCTTGCGCCTCTCCAGCCAGGTTTACATGTTGAACAATCAAATCCTCCAAAGTTTCCCAGACACTGGCAGGATCTAAAATGACGATACATTTGCGATATAAATATATTTTGGGAAATTTGTTTGCATTTTGACTTATATAATATACTTTGAAGCGCAGTTAAAGAAAATTGTTGGAAAGAATTATAAATATTACATTTGTATACCTGTTGAAAAATCTTTCTGGCCACCTTTCTCTGTCATCGATGCCAAATAGAACGTATGGTCCTCCCCATGGTTGTTCATCAACAACAATATCAGAGCAAATACCTCTACCTTCTGTTTGTCCACAAGGACTTCCAGTGCCCGACATCAGAGGGCAGCATTCTTTAGAAAGGTACGCTTCCATAGTTGCACAAGCACGTGGAAACTGTGCATTCGTTTGCACAGTTAAATAAACGACGACCAATAACGCTGGAAGCAACATTTTGTAAACGAGGTTCATCTCCGTTACACGACGTTTTGCATCCATGATTGTGTTGGTTTCGGATTCGAAATGAATTGTGATGAATGTGTCTGGAATACGATCCTTATATACTCTATAGACAGCTAGCTCATTAATATTTTTATATGATAATTTGGTCAAAGAAATTCGATAATCCAATTAATTCAGCCCGTATTTCCACATCCTAGATTACTCAAAGCAGTGCTAATTATCACTGTCTTATGCTCAGCAGGTAGGATCAAATAATTAATGCGTAATTAGCCTGGCTGCTGGCTTGATGCGACAGTAGGCTACTAGATATTGCTACCCAAAGTTTCGGACTATGAAAGTACCTCCACTTGTCCAATATGACCAAGTTTCGAATCTAGAATTTTACACAATATGGTATTTCGTATAAATTAAAAAGCACTTTTTTGCCAGGCTTATAATTATAATACCAGAAATATTAGTTCAACTATGTATGATTCATTCTTTAGGTTCGAATCGGTGCAGAAAAAACACAACCCAGAAAATTTTTCTATGAAAAATTATGCTCGTCTTTGAAGAACATTGTATACTCACTGCCAAATACGATAAACGCTATTGATTTGATAAAATTATTTCAGAATTTGAATTCCTTGCTCGGTTGGCGTTTTATTGTGGCCTTCAAAGCAGATGAAAATAACCAAATTTTCGTTCAACCTCCTTACTTGTGAGTATCTGCAATGTGTACTATAAAATTACAATTGTCATTTCAGATCATACATATCTAAACACATTGGCAAGAAGTAAGCAATAGTTACACCAACTATTTGAGAATGGAACAAGGATTAAAACAAAATAATATAGATGTTTATACATTTTCCACAAAATTAACGACGATTTTTTCTGCTTTAAATGGAGGAACATCGAATTAATTCAAGATCATTAAACAAATAACCACAGAGTGTCCAACCTGAACACGTAAGCCTGGGTTAGGATTAGGGTTTGGAGCACATTTTGGAACCGGAACCCGAATTTCTTTAGCAAACCCTTGTTTTAGTTACAATAAAAAGTCATGCTTCTTGCTGACTTCTAAATTTCCAACAAGCGTTCAAAAAATCGTGTACGGACAGTAAATTTGAAGTTATGAAGACAGAGTTTGGCATCAAATACCAATGTGCGCTGTGGAAACTGGAGGGCGCGTTCAAACAGGATGAACATGCTTTCACGTGAAAAGTGACTAATACAAATTGATTCAGCGATGTTGCTTTATGTTTATGTGTTCATTCCAAATTCGCGGAAGCATTTTAATACAATTTGAGCAGTAAAATACGGTCCAAAATGCACCTATTGAAAGTATTCATAGATTCTCGTTATGTTTTAATATATATATATAATGAGAAACTAAACGCTTTATTTCGGAAAAAAAACTCACAGTAGAAAAACAAGGCAACCCGGGTTTGAGACTATACGAAAACTCGAAATCCGCGTTTCAAAATAATATACCTAAATAGGATACCCTTATGAACACCAAGGAATTTAGTATGTACAACATATTTCCCCAATACAGAATTACAGATATCTGGTAGATTACTAAGCCTGCAATTATTTTTTTCGATGTATACATGACAACCGATTTTCTAGATCTAGGCAAAATATCGTATTTAATAAAATATTTATACAAATATTACCTTTATTTTAAAAGAAATACAGAACCATCAGCACAAAATATGATTTTTGATACTATTAATCGCAATTCCAATGTGTCTATATTTGAATGTTTTTCAGTTTTCATTTTTAAATGTTATTTGCACGAAAAGTGGATAGTTTAATTAGATAAAGGAAAGTAGTTACTGGAAAGGAATTGCAGTATATATGTTGTAATTGAATGGACGGCGTCTCCACGGCGTGAATCACTGCTGAAGCAGTCATACTGTGCTATGTGTCACGCTAACATTAATTAAGCATTTTGCATTAATCAATAAGAGCATATCGCCTCTTTAATCCGGGGTAACAATAATAATTTACCCAATCCTGTATATTAGTAGCCTTATTATATTTATTTTAAGCTGTCAACATCTTATAAATAGGTGACAGAAACTCAAAGCATCATTCACTTTTAAGCAGCACTCGGGTCAGGTTAAATACATTCAAATGAGTGTTTCTAAGCAATGACAATTAAAAAAAAATGATGTAGTTTGTTACTGCAATATTTCGTTTGAGCAGATATGGAATTTAATGATTTCACTTGCTTTGATATATACCATTTTATCAGTAGTGTTAACTCAAGTAGTTGAAATTAAGCTAAATGAAGAAAGGGGGTATTGCTAGTACAAATTGATTATTGCTTATCCATATTCAAAATCTGTTATTTATTAGCGGATGGTTGTGCATATATGATTGCATATGAATATTTCCATGGGCACATGTAGAAGATGTATTGACCGCAACATATAAACCACACTGCAAAATGTCAACCAGCCAGTACAGAGAGGTAGGTTCGAAAGCGTTGAAAAGCTCTTGTCATTTTCGCCCCAATATAAATCGTAATTATTCTAAAGCGTTTTTTCATGTCACCTGTTTAAGACAAAAGATTGACGAAAACGGTAAATTTAACTTGCAATTTGTTTAGACGAAATACAACAACATGAGTATAACATTAAACTTCGTGATAGGAGTTCTAATTATTGCGTGTTTATCTGTGCGGACGGATGCACAATTTCCACGTGCTTGTGCAACTATGGGAGCGTATCTTTCCAAAGAATGTTGCCCGCTGATGTCTGGCACTGGAAGTCCTTGTGGACAAACAGAAGGAAGAGGTATTTGCTCCGATATTGTTGTTGACGAACAGCCGTGGGGAGGCCCATACGTTTTATTGGGAATCGATGACAGAGAAAGATGGCCAGAACGGTTTTTCAACAGGTAAAAAAAAGGAAGCATTCATTTTTTAATATGATGAACCGGATTGAACTTAGTATACTCAGCATAGTTGAACATATGGTTAACACGAATCAGTGCTTCCAGATTTTATTCACCTTGTATTTAAAAATAAACTCACAAAATTTTTTTTTTCACACATTGTATAAACAGATCTTGTCAATGCTTGGGAAATTTCGGTGGATTCGACTGTTCAACGTGCAAGCCGGGATGGAGAGGAGTTAATTGTGATGTTCGGCGACCTCTCGCTATAAGACGAGACATAAGAGAAATGTCTCAAGAAGAAGCAAATAGATTTTTAGATGCTTTAGATCAAGCAAAAACGACACCTCATCCAGATTATGTTATTGCAAGAGATCATTACAGGTAGCCTACATGACATAACAAATAACATCGAATATAAAAGGAACAGATATTTTATGCAATTGGATAGTAGAAGAATATATATGAATAGTTATCGTATCAAATTGTGCTGGATAAGCACATAAACTGATTAATTCATAAATGTGTGAAAGTATAAGCTGTTATGTTTGAAGGTGTGTTTAACACAGCCGTTCGATTGGCCGGATTTTTGGTCGTCAAATTATAACCTGCAATCCTACATATTAATCGCAATTTATTTTTAGGAATCTTCTTGGTGAAAATGGAACATCGGAACCAAACTATGTAGACATTTCCATATACGATCTCTTTGTTTGGGTTCATTACTACAGTGTCAGAGACACCTTACTTGGGCCTGGCCAGGCATTCGTAGGAATTGATTTCTCTCACGAAGGTCCAGCATTCTTGACTTGGCACAGAATGCATCTTCTCAACTTAGAAGAAGACTTGAGAAAAATGACTGGAATCGAGGAGCTTGCTATACCTTATTGGAATTTCGCCATTGGAGGTAGGTTGATAAACAAAATCAAACACCATGTGACAATCGTCATCGAATTTGTTTATGGAAGCAATGTCCCAAATTAGATTTTACAATTATGTGTGTTTTGGATGTGATGAATCATTCATTATGGAAATAGTCTATTTATAATTCGTTTTTTTTTTACATTACTTTCAAGGTACTGAATGTGATATTTGTACTGATGAGCTTCTTGGTGCAAGACATCCAAATGATCCATCAAGATTGAGTCCCAATTCGAGATTCGCTGACTGGCAAATCGTCTGTCTCAGCCTTGATTGGTTTGATGACAATATCAAGGTACAATGTTGTATTTTCTGAGTTTATTTAAATCCGTACCGCCCATTCAGAAATTATTCAAAATATTCTTTATTATTTATATTCCAGTTATGCAACGGAACATACGAAGGAACAATTTTTCGAAATCCCGGTGGTAACACTGAACGTCCTTTGGTTCAAAAGCTTCCAGAGCCTTCTGATGTTGCCGAATGTCTCGGAGTGACTAAATATGATACTTTTCCGTTTTTCTCCGACTCTGACCAAAGTTTCAGAAACACACTCGAAGGTAATAATTACATTTAACATGAAAGTATGAGTATTGTTCGAAAGCTTTATGCTTGAGAATGGATTATGACTCAATTTCAAGCATTGTTAGTTTAGTAAACGAAGTTTGTGACGAACTGTTCATTTTTTATTTTATTTATGTATTAGAGTTTCAAGGGAGAATCTGAAGTTTGAATATTATATTCTCAATCATTGTTTTACAGGTTATGCTGAAGTAGATGGTAAATTTACGGAAGGAGCCAGAACACTTCATAATTTAGCCCACTTGTTTTTGAACGGAACTGGAGGACAAACCCATGCAAGTGCGAATGACCCAATTTTTATTCTCTTACACGCTTTCACTGATGCTATTTTTGAAGAGTGGATGAGAAGGTAAAATTGCAAACAAAGATTACTATTATATACACATGCGTTTTAGTGAGTGTATATTCAAAGACGCTTTTCATATTTTCAGAGAAAATCCAACAACGTCAGATTTCCCAGAACGTTTTGCACCCATTGGACACAATCTTGATTATAACATGGTTCCATTTTTCCCACCAGTGAGAAATAGAGATATGTTCATTCGGGCAAGCGAGTTGGGCTACACTTATGAGGTACAATTTCCAGGTAAAATATGTGTATATATATATATATGATTTAGAAATACCACTTTTTCATTCCCCACAATTTAATGAAATTCAAATTATTTAGCAATAAGTAATTCAGTGCTATAGTGTTTACTGGCATATTGTGAATCTGTGGATATTATAATTGTAAATATAATTATGAATAATGAAATTTGCCACGTGTATAGTGCGCGTCTTCAAGCGCCATGTCTGAATTACTGTCGGTATGTAATTCATGTTTAGATCGGCCATAATATTGCGTTAATCTGCTAGAACTCGGATTCACTATTTCTAAAATATTATTTTACAACATTATATATACTGGAAATTTCAATAATTCATCATATCTTTAGATTCAGTTCCAATGGCAGGATTCGGCTTGCTTTTGTTCGGTCTTGTCGGGATGCTGGCCGTCGTGGGAATACTATTTCTCATTATAGTACTTATATGTCGATACAGACGAAGGATTTTAGAAGTCAGAGGATATCAGGAGATTGTTGAATCCGGCGATGACGTTGCTTACACTTCCTAGCTGTCCATAATTATCAGATATATATGTGTTATAAATCATGATTCATCGTTTATTGTCTTTATTCTCACTTCAACTGTTGGAAAGCATTTGTGAATAATAAACATATAATTCAAATACGATGTTGCATTAACAATAATTACTCCAGAATAGTTGCTAGATTGGATAGACTGAAACTGCGAACAAAGCATTTCTTCAGATAGGTCATTGGACACAAATATTTTAGTATCGGGACAAACGAATTATACACCCGACGAAAGCGACACTGTTGAACCCAATTTTATCCCAGTCCTGGCATATGAGCTTACTTGGACATGGATCACACAAGGAATTCATGCACTTCAGCAATACGTTCCACCGTTGATTAGAAACACTAACAACTTATTAAAATTGCCGCTTGGCGCATCTTTTTGCCATTTTACTGCTGTTTATCGACGAGATTAATTTTGATAAGTACTAGTCGTTTTAGAATTCCTTGCCGCCAACTATTTATCTCGGGGGACTGGACGACCGTGGTTCACTGTATAATTATTTTGTCCTGTTTAACAAAAGCTTTAGGCATCTTGATCACAATGCGTACCCATCACACTCTCAACTGTATGTAAGTGGCTGTTTTCAAATTGTACATCGAGTGTGATCTCTATTCAAATCTTCGCTACGAGAAGAGAAAGTTACTTAAAATCAAAAAGTCAAGATACACACGAGTGGATTCAAAGAACGGCTATCATTTGGATTCAAGCTTTTGATACCCCCTACACATGGCCGTAGTCTATTTCTTTTGTGAAGACTTCTTTAGCTAAAATATCAAAATTTGGTTTCAGTTTGGTTGTTGTAGCATCAGGCGGGCCATATTAAATTACCCAACGGGCCGGATTTGGCCTGCGTGCCGTAGTTTGCCCATGCCAGGTCTGAACAGTTCCTTGCTGATCCAGCCAGTCCTTATGATTTTTTTTTCTTTTCATTCACATTCCATTTTACTTTTTTACATTAGGGCCTTGCTTATTTCTATTTTCACTCCATGGGTCTTTATTATAGTGCTTACTTCATTTTTATTTCCTTAACTGCTTGTGGGCTGGTCGATCTAAATCTCGCTGGTTTTCTGTTTCCATTACTAACGTTGTGCTGCTGCAGCCACATGTGCATCGCTGATTTTTTTCTGTTCTCATCTTAATTTTCTTTGTTTCGCTGATGATTTCATTTCACAACTTGCTTGAATGTCCTTTATTTTTTTCCCTTTTTTACTCTCTGATTTCTATTTAATTTCCCTTGCCTACTACCATTAGTGAAATTACATCCCAATTTTCATTAGGCCGCGCTGATTTCTATTTTCGCTCCCAGTCCTTATTTGACTGCTTGAGGATGAGTCGCTGCTTTTCTTATTTATATCTTACTTATATCATTTTTATTCAACTCTTTTTTTTTTTCATTTTCACTGGACAACTTGCAGTTTGATATATTACTTGGTTTACTTAGCAAATTGCTTGAACATCTTTTTCCTTTGATTGTTTTTGATAACTTTTTGTCTCGTTGAACATTTCCCATCTTAATTTTCCTTGAGCCTACCCAATTTCCGTTTTCACATTTTCCATCCTAATTTCTTTCTTGAACTTTCCTGATCTTTATTTTTTCATGCCTTCGCTTGTTTGTTCCCCTGACCCCATTGGACTGATGGAGCCCCCCTCTCTCCCCTGAACTTTCCTGATCTTTATTTTTCATGCCTTCGCTTTTTTTTTCTCCTGCCCCCTGACCCCATTGGATTGATGGAGCACCCGCACACCCCCGCCTCTCGTATTTTTTCCTTGACGGTGGTTGTTGGACACCATATATAGCGTTTTTACAGTCAGCCTCGTTGATTTTGTATTTTCTCACTCCACACTCGTCGGTCCTTTCGCACCGTTTTTACCCGGGTTCCCTGACAGTATTTTTCACTCCTACCCGTTTGGAATATATATAGCCAGCCATCTTTATTTTTTCTTTGGAGCCTGCGCGATTGCTTTTATCCAGTCAGCCCCTCTCATTTCTGTTATTTTCACTCGTACTTTTCGCACCGTTTTACCCGGTCCTCATCGCTGACCATTATTTCTACTTCTACCCGTTTTCTTCGATGCGTTTTTAGTTTTTCCTGATCGCTCGACCTCTTTGGACTTGACTGGGCCCCGAGGCGCCTCTATTTTCCCTTGAACCGTTTTACCCGGTCCTGATCGCTAACCGTATGTATATGTATTGTTACTTCCACCGCGTCGGCCGCACTTATATTTTTTCCTTGACGGTTGGAATCTTCGTCATCATCATCGCCTTGATGCCTTTCTCCTGTCGGCCTTGCTGATTTCTGTTCCTCGCTCCCCAATTGTAGTCCTCTTCGCTCAGTTTTTCCCCGCGGCTCTGATCACTGGATCACTCGTAACCGTTTTTTTCGCTGCGTTTGGACTAGGAACCCCTTGGACTGACTTTTCTTGAAATAGCCTGTGCTGACTCTGATCACCTTGAACTTATTTTTTGATGCCTGGTTGCTTGCTGCTCTGTATTTGTTTCCTTGTTCTATTTACTCGGCCATGCTCCTATACCGGCTTTGCGCCTGCCATTTTTTGGCGGCTTGCGGCTGCCTGGTCTCTTCTCTATCTTACCAGCTGGCACACATTTTCTTGACGGCTTGCGTCTGGCTGCCGCTGGTTCCTATTTCTTTCTGGCTCCATCTTTCAGACTTTGCTTGGCTGCTGCTCTCGCTTGTTTTCTCCCTCGGCAGCCTGCACCGTCTGCTGTCCCTCCCCTACAACTTAGTCTACCCTAAGGGGTTCGAACCCACACTCATACCTGGCCTGATGTTTAACCATGCCCCTACGCTTTCCCTGCGACACCGCTACTGACGAGGATCAGAATCTTATTTAATTAACGATGTCACACTTGACAGCCCACGACCAGGCTAATTACCCCGAAAATTTACATTGGACATACTGCGTTGATGCGAGGCAGTTGTGTGAATATTTCGTTTTGGTTTACTTTATACAGAGATAAAAAATGCATTTTTAAAACAGACGCATAAGAAAGGAGTGTATTTTCAAACCAAATTTTTGACTGTCAGTGGAGGAGGAATACTAATACTGGAGGATTCAGCAATTTGATCCTTTCTATCCATCTTTGGTAGTCCTCCCGACTTCCAACTGACCACCAGAACCGCCAGAACCATTTACGCCAAAACGCAACGATCCGCAGCGTGGGACCGCCACAAGATGCACAACACCAAAAACACGATTCTAATAAATAAACAAAATTCTAATAATAACAACATAATACTGAAACGATCTGCCGTATTTCCCCGAAAATGAGACCATACGTGTCCTATTTCAATTTTCTTCCAAAAATTAAACCAGGGCTTATTATGAGGGATTACACAGGCTTTTTGATAACATTGGGTTAATCATGTGCGGTTCTCGTCAGCTCGTGCAGTTTTGTACCTCAAGTGCTCCTAGTGGGCGTACCGTAACACAGGAATAAAACTGACTGGCATAGATGTAACTATTGAACTAAACATCAGTTTCCTAACTGCTTGGTATGATAAAATTCTTCTGCCATACGCAGATACGGTACCGGTACCTAGTTCCCGTATTTCAGTATTTTGAAATTGTTTGGTTATTCTCATGTATCAGTGTATGAGTCTGATAGCAGCAAAATATTAAATAAAATCAATTCAGTATTAGACTATAGGCCTAGATATTGTTATTCTTAAGCAGTTGCTCAAAAGTGATTAATCTAACAGTATTTAATTTTATTATTATCTCACCACCTCTTGATGTTTGAATTTTTCAACTATTGTAGTAGTAGTTATCAGTATATTGAATTAATCTGGATCTGGAGTAAGGCTGTATTGTAATTTTCGTTCTTCAATGGATACTATGGATAAATCACCGACAAATTCGCCATCTTCCAGTACTGCACTTATGCAGGCGGAAATAGCTTTGTCAAAAGATGAATATTCGGAAAAGAAGAAAAGGTTTACTGTAAGTAAAGTTTGTGATTTTAAGGCAAATTTGAATGTGGTATTGGTAAAATAAAAACTTATTTGAACTTATATAATTAATTTAAAAACGTGCTTTTTCAATAGAATTTCTTGTTAATCTTGAGGAAAAAACTCGATTAACTTTGATATCTTAATTTTTTTTGTTCCTGTGAACTGAACAAACTTGCCTCAGAGTATAGTCACACATAGGGCTGGGAGCTGGTTCAAAATCACAGTAGCCCCTTTTTCAGATGAATACAGTTCTACGGAAGCAAGACTCAAAATTATTATTTGAGGGTTTCGAATTCTGAAATTAAACTTTCAATATATAAATTCGATTGAACTTTTAAATTGATATTTATAAAAGTTTATAAGCTGAAATGGACAGGTTGTAATATTTGTATCAAGTATCAGAAAATTATAAAAGTTGAGAAAATAATTGATGGTTGTAAGCTGGAACCATTAAAATTTCTGGTAGCCCCAGTTCTGACTCCAGCTTTATCAAATATGGTAAGCTTGGCTCCGGCTCCACCAAAATGTCACGACTCTAGACTCCGACTCTCCATCCTCTGCCACACAGTATAGACACATTAGAAAATTTATCGTTATGTAGAAAATTGGTTTGCTAGTTACCCCATGTCTTACAGTCAGTACAGTATTTTATACTAAAATTGTGTCTATATTACAGGTTTATAAGGTCATGGTGAGCATCGGAAAAAACTCGTGGTTTATATTCCGCAGATATGCAGAGTTTGATAAATTGTATCAGACGGTAAGAGAGGTATTTTTATTGAAAATTAATCATATACTAACTTCATTTTTTGAGGATGCCATAATATACACATTATTCTAAAATATGAACGATATGTTTATGTACCCTAATTTAATTTGCCAATTAAATATGTGTGCTGAAATATTAGGGGTCTCATGTTAAGAGTTCCAGACTTTTATATGAAATAAATTTTTTTAATTATGAATGGTTTTGTACTAACTTCATTTGAATGAGCTTAATATAAGTTGTTAACATATATATTGTTATGTTATGGAGGTAAATATGTCTTTTCCAGGTGAAAAGGCAAGCGCCACAACTGAATTGGCGTCTTCCACCAAAACGAATATTTGGAAATAATTTTGATCCAGAATTCATAAGACAGAGAAGAGATGGGCTGAATGATTTCATTACAATGCTTGTATCTCACCTTGATGTTTTGCAACAGTAAGTTTTTTGATTAATATTTGAAGTATCAGATTCCAAATTCAGTAACATTCAGTCATAATTGATTTTTGAATAGTATAAGGTAGGTTTTGGATCTTAGTAAATTTGGAATATCTAATTCTAATGTGTGCAGTGGCTATTCTATTTTACTTTTCATACCCCCATGAAGAGTTGAAAAATACTTACAGCTTGATGGCCTTTTTTATTCATTTCTTCGTTACTTGGTAGTGCTATTAGAGTTTTAAACTTAGAACTTAATATGGCTTCATTATTGGCTTGTCAAAAATTCAGTTGGAGACACGATTCATTGTAGCATACTGCATATGATTCTTATATTCCTATATTCTAAACCAGGGGTTCTCAAACATTTGGTGTTATGGAGCCGGTGAAGAGGTTGACTATTATTTAAAGGGCCCCACAATAAATTTGTAAAAATGAAAACAAAGAAAACACATTGTTCATTACCGATTTTTGTTCCTGAATAACTTAAAATTTGTTTTATTTAATGACTCGGATGTATTTGCTGCTTTGTATTTAGAAAATATTCAGTATTTCATTATAACTAAACGAATACCTCACGGAGCCCCTAGGCTTCTCTCACTGGGGCTTCGTATGAAGCACTTTGAGAGCCTATGTTCTAAACTGCAAATGTTTGCAACCATCTTAGAATATTTTTTTCTTAGCATTTTATTGTACCACACGAATAAGCTATGAGCAAACGGCTGAGTGTGTAATGTTTATTTCTGCTTCTTTCAGTCCTGATGTACGAACGTTTCTTGCACTCGACAGTCCACGTAGTAGAATGTATGACAGTGATGATAGTGACTCGCCTACTAGCAGTTTGGTGAGTTAATTCATATTGTTCATTGATCAACAAGTTTATGTTGTCAGTTTTCGACTTGAAACAATTTACCATAATCTCGACTTTGCCAATGACTAGTGATCATCCTGAAACATCTTGATTTTTTTTTGTATTTTAGATAAATGAAATTTACTTTAGTTTTAGAGCATTGATATTGTGATGATAGTTAGTATAAATATAAACAACAGTTTTATTTTCTATGTTTAATAATACCTTTTAGATAGGTAATAATCACTATTTGTTCATTAGTCTTTTAACAATGATATACCCACTATAATAAAAGAAAGTACGCCATAGCCATATATATATAAAGAACTAAATTATTCTATTGGTAATCCACTTAACTTTGGCTACACACAGCGGTAACGAAAAGAATCAGTGCTATCAATCCTGATTGATTTTTTCAAGATATTATGCTCTAAATACATATAGAACAGAGTTGCCATAAAAAATTTGCTAACACACAATTAAAAAACAAATACTTTTTAATGTTAATTGAAAAAGCCAAGTGATATATTCTAACGCTATATTACTCCAAAAAACATAATCAGCAGACAGCTTTCTGCTTGTAATTTTCAAGATGTCGAAAGATTTTAACCCAAACAGAATTTTAAATTAATATTATTAGATTAAGATACCTTTAAAAAAATTCAGATAATCAAAAATTTTGTTTTCCCTAAATTTTCCATTTTTTGGATTCCAAATATTTTTTTATGAGCAATATTATTTATGTTGAATTTTTTAGATAGAAGTTTAACATTTCATGATTTTTTTACAAAAAAATTCATTCAGATTATCTAAGAACAAAATTTATCATCAGTCTGAATTGTAGAATATCAAACAATTTATAATATTGATATTGCTCTATGATGACTCGATTTTGGATTTTCAGCATATCTTTTCTATTTAGTCTGGTTCAGCAGAGGAAACAAATGTTGAGCTCGGACCTTCTAATGATCCACAGTGAGTAATGAATTGTTTATATACATAATTTTTAATATTCAGTGGTAAGAAGTACTGATTCAATTGATTCAGATATTTGAGACCAAATCAAATTATTTTTCGACTGAATTTTGAAATATTCAATCTGGTTTAGTGGTAGACTGGTAGTAATATAACAGCTATGGATAAAGGGTTTATATTCTAGAAATATGTGTCCTAAATCTTCCTTCAGAAACTCTGAAAATTACTCAACTTGAAAGTCATTATGTGTTCACTTATAATGTGCGAGATTGGTTGGAGTATTTCAAATCTCTGTTACCCAAACAAAATTTTGTATTATGCTACCTCACTTCCTTGAAGACGCTCACCAGACTGGAAAATTTGGTTTGATTCGAGAATTTTCATTTTTGAATCAACCTATATTAAACCTTAGCCAGCGTAGTTTTTGGTTCAACGTGTTGTCATTGACATTACAAAATACCATAGAACCTATTTGTAGTTTCATTTCCTCCATTTTTCTGTTGATTATGTTAATGTCACACACCTCTATTTCTATGAATTGTTGTTCATGTATTCCATATGGAATGAGTTGATCACAATTAATGACGTCATGTAACGGTATTTAGTATTTATATGTTACATTGTGAGTCATTTTGACTGATGCATAAATGAATAGTTAGAAAATATAATAATTATTAAATGATCTACTGGAGTGGAAAAATTGATTCGCGTATCTATAATCTAAAGTATATCATAATATATCATAATATATTATTGATATAGTGGGTATATGTATATTTTAATATTGTTTAGAGCTATAACCTATATAGCAATGCAGTGAGTCCTAACTTTCTTGTATTTCCTTTTCAGTGCCAAACCAAGTGACTTCGATTTCCTCAAAGTCATAGGAAAAGGAAGCTTTGGAAAAGTATGGTATTGTTTTTATTATTCAAATCCTGTGTGCATTTTTATATGTCAATTGGTTTGTTTTACAGTCTGACTGAACAATGTATATTATATGTATTATATAGCTTATTTAGAAGATTGAAATGATTATTTTCAGGTATTGCTTGCAAAACACAGAAAAGATGAATACTTTTATGCTGTGAAAGTTTTACAGAAGAAAGCAATAATGAAACGAAACGAGGTAATATTAACCATCAAAAAATTACTCTATTAGTTTATGTTAGTTCATAAAATTGAAATTCATTTGAAATCACTTCTCTACTGAATATTCATTTTGGTAGTCATTAATATGAAGCAAACATTGAATATTTCCTATTTGAATGGGTTTTGATCAAGATCCATATGAAATAGAGTTGTTGATGTACATATAGATATTTATGCAGAGCGTCAACCGGAATAATAAGTAATGCTAAAAATTGTGAAATTGAAAATTTTGCGTCAATATCAAAATTCAATTGTTTCCAACCTCATAATTACCGATATTGAGATATTATGCATTTTTATATTTTAAATGTTACGATTTGTAAAAATTTGAATTCATTGATGATACCTTATCACAGACTTTTATAATTTCATTTACAATGAAATACAGGATATAGTTTCATTGTAAAATTACCTGTAACTATTGTTGTCTTTAGTAGACAACATTTCACTATTCTATCAATGCAAGTTGAATTATCAACTGGTATAGTATGAGTCTGACTCACTTCCTCATACCGCTGTGTCATGGGATCTAAAAATAAACAAGAAATTGTGATCCGGGCTTTTTTAAATGAATACGTATGCAATCATTGAGTATTGAATACCTTATTATAAGAAATAAAAAAAATATGAGAATTGAAAATTTTCTGCACTTTTTCAATTAGTGGATTTATGAATAATAATTTTATTTTTTATTAAATTCATGGAATATGTTTGGAAGTTTCATGATAACATAGTTACCTATAGATTTGTACTGTGTTTATGATAAACATAGTGAAGGCTATAGAAATATAATACTACATTCTGGAATAAGCATTGAACAACTGAATTCCAATTTTACTGGTCTGTTTTTGCTAAAATGTAGTACGCTTATTATTACTCATTGTTCAGTGTGTGATATGATGTACATTCCAGTATATGATTCTATAACCCTTTTGGACTGGAAGCATGCATAAAATTGCATAAGTGGCAAAACACTTACCGGTACTCTTATATGCAAATTGATATTTATTCTTCGATAAAAGTTATTTTATGTCACTGATAATATTTTAGTTTATATTTATACATGTTTTGTCATGATTATGCCGTTGTGTGCACAGTTCACACATGATTGGTTAAAAATAAAAATAGTTTAAAATAGAGGTGTAAATACAAGTTGATCAATAGGTATCAATAAATCAATTAACATAATGTGAAATTCCATTAAATGTTTGTCTTCCAATAGCAAAATGAAATCAAAAAATATTTTGTAATCAAAATTGTTTGATGATGATTTTGATTTGATTCGAAAAGCCAATCAACCTAGATTGGACCATGGTGTAATAGCATTATATATAATATTTTATATTTCTGTGAGCTATTGATAAAAATTTTATAAAAAGTATATTGAATTTATCGATTGCAACACATTTTCAAAGGTTTTGCTCTTCAAAATAGATTTAGTCAATCTATTTAGCATATATCTATTGCCTTGGTTTTCCAAGTGCTGACAGATTGTATTCACTGTATTTGATTAGCAGCAAAGCTGATTACCGACTTTGCTTGAATGTATTTGTGATATATATTGAAACAAAACTGGATAGGATTCACATATTTATTCTGGGGGAGAGGAAACCGATAAGACAGCTTAACCATATGGCGAACCACGGCCCCTCGTTCGGTTACCATTCCATGCCAGGTATGGGATTAGTTATTTGTTTTTGGAAGCATGGACTTGATGGTGGAGGAAGCCGTAACCGACCAACGATTACGTGAACCACCCTACGGCGACGAGGAGTCTAGCAATCCTGTCGCACATAACCATCCCTGCATGGGATTTGAACCTGCGAATCCACGCAGAGTAATTAGAGGTGCGGTGGCGAGCGTATTTCTAACGCTCAGCACGTTGAGCCACACGGCGTTATATGTATTGACAATGATAACATATGAACAGTGATTATGATTAAATGCAAACAGACAGTAGGGCAAGCAACTGATTGAGATATGCCCGAGTTCCATTTTGTGTTTTAGTTCTTTTCATTTTGTTCTTTTTACTTTCAGCAAAAACACATCATGGCGGAGAGAAATGTTCTTCTTCAAAATCTAAAACATCCATTCCTTGTTGGTTTGCACTACAGTTTCCAGACATTAGATAAATTATATTTTGTACTTGATTATGTCAATGGCGGAGAATTATTTTTTCATTTACAAAGAGAAAGAACATTTGCTGAATCGAGGTAAGAATTTGTTAAAAAAGTAATAAATCTAAGTCATAGAAAAGTATCGGTACTGTAATGATTTATAATAAAATTACTCAGGCTTTGGCATCGGCTCTCAACCCAAGGTAATTTAAATTCCAACTCTATTTCTGGACTCCGAGCAAATACCTTTGGTTTTGCTAGACATCTGTAACCCGTCTATTAAAAATGCTTCATGGTTTTTGAGCTGAGGGCATAAATTTTTAATTTGGACTTTCAATTTCGAAAGTTTACATTCCCACTTCTCACTCCCAAGAATTCAAAATTAGGATTTTGAATAAAACAGTTCGGATTGATTTCTTTCATCTGCCATACTTGTGTAGGTATTTCATCATAAGTTAACAACCAAATCTCTAACTTTCTCCAGGGCAAGGTTTTATGCAGCGGAAATCGCAAGTGCAGTTGGTTATATGCATTCATTAAAAATAATATATCGAGATTTAAAACCAGAGAATATACTTCTTGATTCAAAGGTAAATATTGTTTTTATCATCGATATCAATAAAACCAGAATGACTGAATCTGAAACTTGCTTTAAAATTATATTCTTTGGAATGCAATCATAATATGTGATACCACATTTTCATATTACTTTACAATTGCCTATTTTATATAGTTCTTTTATATGTTAGATATCATGAAATATAGCAAAGATTGAAATAAAAAAAAATTTTGTACATTTCAAGTGTATGCATAGTTAGTAGTTTGTTTGAGATAGATAAGTAGAAATTTATATGCCTTTGGGCCATTCCAAGCAAAAGTTGAATTCCATCAATTTTTTAAAAAGTGTAGTGAAAGTAATTTTTTTTTATTTTTGATATCAAAAGACATTGGAATTTTATTGGACTGAATTCATTTCATCGAACAATTTAAAATTTCACCCAGGTTTTTGATGGTTTATAAAAAATGGCCTGAAATGTAGAAATTTTGGTATAATTGACATATTTTGTGATGATTCCTGACACAAAGTGTTTGATTGTGTGGTACAGTTATTTCATATGGAATTGACGCACTGGATTTAAGTTAATAAAGTTTGAATGTTTGCAGTGCTGTAGAACATTTCTTCACCCATTTAACGATTTATTACCAGAATTTTAAGAGATGATAGAGGCCGCTATTCCGAAGTGGAAAAATGTCCTGTAGTGTCACATACAATATGCACATTATTGGCATGGATTTACATTAAGTAACTTGAGCAACACATAGAGGGGTAGTTCAGCTACTGCGCCAGAAAATATTATGGGCTCCTACTGTACCATCGCAAAAATTTACATCACAACACAATGTTCTGTTAATGCATGGTGGATTTGCCGCCCCGTGGCCGTAGTGTCATGCTATATTTTTTTTATCTACTAAGTAAGGTTGGGTGTAACTTTTGTGCAATTTTTTACATATTCAATAAGGCAACTGATTGGACAATGAAACAAAACATGTAGCTGAAAATGTGAAAATATATTGAATTTAACAACATGCAAAATTTCTGGAATTGTCCTGTAGTGTCACTTGGAATAGCCCCTTTATGTATTTGCCTTTAAATATTTTATCAGATGTTACTGGTTAGAAATTACTATGCTACTAAAGTTTTTCCAATTTTAGAATATTCAGTTTTCTTCTTTTTGGCCTCTAATGCTCTTTTATTACTAGGGTCATATTGTGCTCACCGATTTTGGTCTCTGTAAAGAAGGAATTGAAAGCAATCAAACAACATCAACATTTTGTGGAACACCTGAATATCTTGCACCTGAGGTTTTGAAAAAGAAACCGTACACAAGATCAGTGGATTGGTGGTGTTTAGGGGCAGTATTATATGAAATGTTATATGGCTTGGTATGTATTGTAATACTGTTTTTTTTTACTTGTACGCTTTACTCTGAAATTTAGGCTTCGAGAAGTTGAATGTACTAATGCACTATAGCTGCAATTCAATGTTGTAATAGAAAGTAACATCAATGGCATAGGCAAAAATTTAAAAGCGTTATCATATCGAGTAAACTATTCCATTCTTAAAGAAAAATTATGCATCTGAAATTTGTTATGACACTATTTTTCGTTAATGACTAAATTTTGTATAATATGCACTTCTTTCTTTTTTAAAATTTTATTTATTTATTTTTAGCCCCCGTTTTACAGTCGAGACACACATGAAATGTATCAAAATATTTTATACAAACCACTGAAATTGAGAACTAATGTATCTGCTTCAGCAAGAATGATACTTGAACAGGTTAGCTTGCTTTTATTATATTTATAAAATCAGTTTTTTTTATGAGATGAACTCATTATTAAGTGTCAAGACTGAAAAGTATAGACACTCATGATTAAAGTATTGTCTCTGCTTTTGTTCGTTGGAATGTCATTGAAAAATTTGTTTTTCGTGCTTTTCATTTTGTTCAATGCTCAAGATTGGGCACCTAGCCGTAGTGTGTTAGGGTTAGGCCATAATTTTATTCCGATTTTCCCTATTTGAATTTTATTACGTCTGTGTTAGTCAAGTGAATATACAGTCCTTTTACACAACTTGATGTAAAGTAAGCAAACAAAATTAATTACCTCCATATTGGTACACACACTTCTGGAGCGCCCTAGATTGAATGTGAGCTCTTATTTGATCGATGTAAGAATTTTGTCTTTCCAATTTCCATAAATTTTGCAATACTGTTTTAAATTAACATAACAGATCAAATATTGAATCAAAGAGTCTCTCATAACATATCAATAATATTTTATGTAGGTGTTCGCACATCAAGCATTACTCGACTGTTCAATTTTTAGTGGGCGACTGTAAGTCCTACACAAACAACTATAAAAATAGAAAATCAAAGCCTTCACTAAGGAACAATATTTTTCAGAATTTTAAGATTGATTGTGTACTTGTTCCATATGAATACAATACCAATTTATTTCAAGGCACCATTCCAATAAATTTTTTGTTTTTTTGCTTTTTTAGCTTCTTCAAAAGAATCCAGAATTTCGATTGGGATCTGGAGATCGAGATGTGGTGAGCAATTATTAATTAATTAGTGATGGGACACGCGGTGTCGCTATTGAGTCCAAGAGAAGGAATCGAAACCGCAGTTTCTGTTTTGGGGGATCGCCAAACTTTCGTCGCTGCGAACGAACGATAAGTCGGCGGTCTATCTAGTTATTGATTCTTGCTAATAGTCAAGTATTTACTGTTTATTTTTCTTCCAGCTTATTTTGCTTTCAATTTAACAGAAATTGAATCTACCCTCTTTCAAACATCACGTATAGGCAATAGACTGTGGGTATAATTTTGTCCACATTTGAGATATCCATAATTCAAGAAGGTTGAGCATTCAATTGACACTCAACTTGTTACAAATACCATGTATTAAATATTGCTAAGTATATTTTGTAAAAGTTTGTTTATAGCACTGACATAAGTCTATGATATTCAGGTTGATATAAAAGAACATACCTTCTTTTCTCTTATCAACTGGGAAGATCTTGAAGCCAGGAAATTACAGACACCTTATAATCCTAATGTTGTGAGTTGCATATTTTGTTAACCAACACTTCCATCTAAAAGTGGGAAAATAACTTATTTAACAGTTGCGAGCCATCAGTGATTTGCTCAGGGCTACGTACAACTTTGTTGCTATGCATGATGTAGGAAGCTTAGGAGCACTTAAAGAGTCAATATTATAGCACAAACAGCTAGATCAGTGGTTGCCAAAGTGGGGTCCGTGGAGCACTTTTGGAGGGGCCACGAAAAAAATCTGTTATAGGGCTCATAGCTTGATAATACAAAAATTAATTCCTAAATTTGCAATACACAATTGTCGCCTTTTGCTGCTTCGCAATCACTGCTGGAGACACTGATTCTTCACTTATTGTTTCGACCATGCTGCTCTATTGGGATGTCACAGAGCTGTGGACCTGTGATATCACAGAGTTAGTTTAATTGCTGCCAAGCCAATACAAGTTACCTAACTGCAAAGATGTAGCTGACGCTGCCTTTTTGTATGTTTGTTGGTATAGGAGGGAGTTACAGTAGGCACTAGGCAGTTTATGAAGTTATGCCAGTTCGCTTTAAAGTGCATTGAACATCGTCATAGACTTTTGTTCATTTTAATGTTCATTAACGGAGCATTGATTTTTTGTTGTGATCTTTTAATGTTTTGTTTTAGTACTCGAGGCCAGGAATAATTAAAAAAATTGCAAAGTGTCTGTCATGGAATTATTTTTAAAAAGTATGGGAACCACTGAGCTAGTTGAATAAGGAATTTACCAATATGAAAATTCATGAACAAATTTTGTCTTCAATTATATTGGCGAGCTGGAACCTCTTTTGTACTTTGTTTTATCTGATAGATTTGTTTTGCTGTTTTAAGATATTCTCAGTTTAAATTTTATGATATATTTTTCATACAAGGCTGGACCTGAAGACTTAAAGCATGTTGATCCAGAATTTGTTCAAGAACCTGTTCCAGAATCTCTTGGTGAAAATGACGACCATACTGTAAGTTTGTGTGTATTGATGCAATTTTTTTCATTCAATGGATCAGCTTGCCACTTTGTGGCTACAAAAGACTGATATATCAATATTTGCTGGTAATTAAGTCTATCTTGTAACTGATTGATAGTACATTTTCTGGCCTGTGGCTGTGTCTCACACAACAATGTGATTGATTTATTCCAATATCTGTATGTATATCCTTTCTCCATATTATATTAAAATAACATACAATGTTTACATTAAATTATAGGTAAATGCAAGTGTTCAAGAAGTTGATGATGCCTTTGTTGGATTCTCATATGCACCACCTTCTATCCTTTCAAACTCATAACCTGGCATTTATGGCAATCTTGAGCTTGGACAATGCTAGTGAAACAATGCAGGATCTGAAGGCTTCTATGACACATTGGGTGGAAAAAATAACAGCATAGTTTGAATTAAACAATTTGCTTCATGATTTTTTGTCAAACTATGAACTGTGGAGTGAGTATGGGGCATTCTGGCCACAGACTTCGTATCGGGAAAACAAAACATGAAGCAGGTTGAAGAGAATTCTTATCGGTTTGATGTCTTCAAAATATCCACTAGATTTAAATTTAACTAATGTGAAATATGCTAAATTTAACCATTTGATCATGGTTTATGCCATTTTTTTTTTCGCGAAATTTGAGTTATCAGACATTGGTAAGACAAATTATGATTACCGTATTTGCTCGTTTTGTAGCCCGGGCCCATATTTTTTTCAACCAACTCACTAACCGGGCCTTAATGCAAACCGGCCCTTATTCAAGCACGGACGCTTGTTATTTTCGATCGTTACAATAAATAATATATTGTTATTTCCAGTTCTCAAGTATGGTTTAAACGAGAATAACGAAAATTTTGACATTTTCTACGCACCGCAGGTACAAATCCGCAAAAGAAGAAAAGATTTGTGACGCCCCATCAATATTGAAACGATGCTCTTGGGCATCGGGACGCCCAGTTTGAAAACCATGGTGTTACATAATCAATGCTATCTGTTTTGACTTGGACGCCTGAGGCGTGAGTGTTATCTACCGGCGCTCAAAATTCAACAGCGTTGTGACAAAAGCGCTTCTTATTTCCTATTGTTCTCTACCACTGAAAAAGTCAGCTTTTACATCTGGCGGGTATTCAAGCACGGGCCCTTATTTATTTTTATGTTCTGTTCACACGGGCGGCTATTCAAACAGGCCCTTAATCAAGATCGGGCGGTAAAACGAGCATATACGGTATACTGTAACAGTATTGAAATCTCTCAAACAATTTGAACTTTATTAAATAACAAATTAAGTATGTTCATTTGAAGTAAATTTTTGTTCTCCCTTCTTGAATTCCAGATATGTGATTGTAAATTGAACATTGCCTACTACCTCTTAGTAAAAAGAAAAATGATAACTGTATTTCATGGATGTGACATGGTTTAAGGTCAATACTCGCTCATTCAACACTCATTCTGTTGCCTTTTTTCATGCAAATTGAGAGCTTTGATTTTTTTTTCCAAAGCCTGAATTGGTTGTTTTTCATCATTTTGAAATCAGATTCTTACTTTTTTAAAATCTCGCTCACCTTATATTATTGCATAAAATGTTGATATCATTTTGATCAATAGTTTTTGCTACCCATCATGAAGTTAACTAATTTTGAAATTGAATTATGCCCGTTCTTATACACTTTAATATGAAATATTAAAATTCATGCAGTTTTCTATTAGACTTTCCATAACAAGTCCTATGCAATGTTATCTTAACATACTTGTATGCATATTTCCATAACATTTTCACAAAGATTGAAATTTCACTGAATTGTATATTTGTATTGCCAACAGATTTGTTCAAACCAAAATTGTGTTCAAACCAGTGCGTTCTTCAATTTAAACGGCCTTTATCAAAAAATAACGTTAAAATATATATATATTTTATCAGTGTTGCTATTTCATAATATTTTCTGCGTTTTCAGTGGAGCAACAGATTTGTATACATAATCTGCTAGGCTGAAATATGACATTAATTATATGGGGTAAAGTAATCTGTGTAACAATTTATCACATGAACCCAGAAAATTTTGGCTATAGTTTTGGCTTGATGGCAGAACTATAAATTTTTTAAAAAACAAGCCTATTTTACATAACATTTTATGTAATTAGCATTAAAATGTATAGGCAATTGCTTGATTTAACTGATTTTCTGCCTATCTCTGATTTTTTCTTTAATTGAGCCAACATTTCTGGCAGTGCTTTTGAATTCAAATGTTTATGATTGTTTGTCTTTTGATTCTCAATGTTAACTGTTTTTATATATAAGATGAATGTACAGTGATACCTCGGTAGTCGAAGAACTCGATACTGTTAATAATTTGGTAGTAGGCTAAAAAATTCTAGTCAAAAATGCTGAGGTACTCGAACGTAAATTCGGTGCTCGAACACCAGAGCATGGGGCCGAGTGAGATGACGTCTCCCAATCCGCGCATCTCGGCCGCTTCTTGACCATTCAACAAGAGAGCGATGCTCGAATATATGGATGCGAAGGCCAAAACGTAGTAGGATGTGTATGTAGTCTGTTACGGTAGTCAAACACCAGTCCTGAACGAATTATGTTCGACGACCGAGGTATCACTGTCTTTTGATTTGAAAAGCTGATATTTTCATATATTAGAGTGCATATACTATTGACAAGAGATGTGATTATTTCGTTGTATTTTTTCAACTATAATGTGCTTGTAATGTTTCTTCACATTATGTTCAGCTTACTGTTTTAAAGCTTATGCTGTCATTCAACATAATAGCACTATAGGTATGAGTAAATGCCTGTCAAGATCACTTTTCAGAGCAAACACACCTTATAAAGGGTGTACAATGTTATAAGTAATAGAATCGGTAGTTTATTTTCCCCCATAATGGAAATGCATGCTGCATATACAGAATGCAAAATTGGAACTGAAAAAAATAATACTGATTATCGTGCAGTGACACTCCTGATGAAGACTAACAATAGTTAACACAATGGTAATAGAAAAAAGTTGAACATCGACATTGAAAACAAGTAATTTTGTAATGTCGATTGTAATTTACCAATGAATATTGCCATTATTGACTAATAGGAAATACTTGTTTATTGCCATTTACTGGTAAACATGCAGTTTTGCATTTCTTGAACACCAGTTGATCATCATTGGTAAATTGTAACGCTCATTTTATATGCAAAACCTGATTATATGAAGTAATATAGGAATTTATGATGTGTTTATCCTCTGGCTATTACTTTTTGTACTCCAAATATTTCTTGATTGGAATAATTTTATTCATGTCCAGTTATGTCTGTTTTACCATAAACATGATTTTTGTTGTTGTGATATAATAGTAAATTTGCCTTGTATGTGGACGAATATTGCATTTCGTAATATACCATCTTTCATACTTAATGGTAAACTAGTTATTATTGTTATAAAACGATCATTCTTAATATATTGTGCAATATTGTTGAAAAACTTCCAGAAGTGAATTTTTAAACTTTTTGTCTGTATGTCCCCGAGTTGTCGGAAAATACCATTTGTTCAAAAATTGACAAAGAGAAACCTTTTCAAAATATCCTTCATTGTCTGTTTTTTTGTAACTTTGAGCATAGAAATCCAGTTATAAGTTCAATGCTCATCAGTTTTTGCAACCTCCAGAAATATGTAGAAAATTGTGGAAACTTTTTATCAGTGTCTCTTTAAACAATCGATTATGCAATCAAGTATGCATTGTACTGGAATGTTAAGTGATTGATTGGAAGCAATCTAAAGTAAAAATGTGTCAAAGATTCAAATCAAAATTGGCTATTATTTTTCAAAGTCTTTAATATTATATTATGGGTCAGGTTGAAATTTTTCACAAACCTTCCAATGAAAAGTTTCTTTGTCAGCATTCATCATATTCAATTTTGATGTTATTGCAGTAATGTTTCCGTCATTAGGATAATTGTCCCAAATACTATTATTGTGAGTGGTGTCAGAATTATTATCGACATATTGATCATTCCATATCATCTTGCTTTGTATACAATAATGACTATGCCATTTTCGTTAATAAATAAAATTTATTGAATCCAGCCATTTTATTTGTGCAATTCGTGCCTTGTGTAATATAATTGTTGTCGTTCTGGAAACAAAAAGATTGACTTCATCCTATTTGTCATTTTTTTCAAATGTTTCTGTATGAGAATTATTTTTGAAAATTTTTTTTTGTGTTGTTTCCATTTTTAAAATCATGATTTTTCATTGTATACATTTAAATATTGATTATTGCTATTTAAAATATTTCACTTGTATTTCTATACCCAGGTATATTTCATAAAGTCCGTATATAAGTAAGGTTTTGTCATGGCGGAGAAATACAGCAGAAGTGTGCTGAGAGTTGTTATAGCTCAGCTTAGTCAAGCTGTTGGATTTGATTCAATTCAATCATCTTCTCTTGACATTCTCACCAATGTGTTGGAACAATATTTACTTGTTTTATCAAAGTCTGTTCATGATTTTAGTGAACAATGTTGTCAGACGAAACCGAACTTATTGGATGTAGAATTTGCATTAAAAAGAATGCATGTTGCTATTCCTGATTTAGTCGAGTACATGCAACAAATGGAGCCGGTTGCTTTCCCACAAAAGGTGCCAATGTTCCCTGCACCAAAAGATTCAAATTTACAATTTCCTTCTGGTAATAATCCTGAAGATTTTGACAGAGCGGAACATATTCCTCTTTACATGCCTTCAATGATTGTTGCACCACCAAAACCAACTGTTGAAACTGAAGAAAATGATTTACCTGAAAGTCAAAAAAGTAAGAAAGCAACATTTGTTATTGCTGGCAAAGCACAAGGCTCTTCTTCTGATGAAGATGATTATTCTGCAGGTGAGGCATCGGATGAAGAATACATGTCCGATGATTCCCTATCACATAACCCAGTGAAGTCTCGTCATTTGACAAAACCAGAAGACATTCCTACAATTGAAGGTACTGCACCAAGTAGTATGATGTCTGAATGGGATGAGCTGCGTGGTAGCATGTCTCCAACAAGACGAAGTAGTTTTGAAACGGCGAGTGAATTACATGAACGACCTGCAGTAAAAGGGAAAAAGAGTTTCGATGAGTCACATAATTACACACCATCTCATAAAACGAGTAAACCTTTTCAAGACTTGCCATGGTTGAGCCCTGATAAACCCACTCCAGAAAAGCGTCATGTGCCATCCACGAGCTCAAGTGTGCGTAAGAATTCTTGGGCGTCCAAAACTACAAAATCTGAAGACCCAAAATGGCTGTCTGGGAAGAAAAAAACTGCGGATGTGTATGATGCTGACTGGTTGCAAGGTGAAACTGCATCTACTGTCCATTTATCTAAACAACACACACCAGATTTATCACTTGGAAGCTCCACGGTGGAAAAGAAATCATGGTTAAGTAAGGATAAAGATTATTCTTCTACACCTAGTAACAAGGGCACACCAAGCTCAAAAAAGCTGATGACTCCTCAAAGTGGAAAGCAAAGATTGACTTCGACTCCAAGCAGTTCTTCAAGCCACAAACATTTTTCGAAACAAGGTATTGACCGAAAATCATCTCATCACAAACCATATAAACCATTCAAACATTCATCATCTAGCAAGAAAGCTGACCTAGGGGACGAGCCTATAAAAGCTAAGATTGAGGCGGCAGAAAGACTTATCCAGGGTCCTCCTGTACCTGCTTACAAACCTCAAACTCCAAAATCAATAAAACGTGAGCCTGGTCTGCAATCACCTCCTAAGTCTCCAGTGCGATCTAGCATTGAACGAGCTGAAAAACTACTCAAGCATCCTGTTGAGAATTTAAATTTTCCTCCTCCAAGTGAAGCCTCTCCTGCAATCAAACAAGAGAAGCTTTTTCCTGGCAAGAGTCTCGAAGATAAAGATCGCTCCAACTTTGCATCTTATAAATCTATGGATGATGCAATTGATGCTGTTATCAATAGAGCTTCAGAAGAAACTGTAAAGAAAGATGAGCAGGCTAAAAAAGATGCGGAGGAAGCAGATTTAATGAGATTCTCTCATCTTGTAGAGGATTCTAGTTCATCAGATTCTGATGCGGATGTTTCTCATAAAGTGGAACAAATGTTGCAACTGGAAGAAAGAGGACTGAGAGATGCACATCCTCCTACTCCAGGATCATCTCCCATTCCCACTCCGTCATCCGCAGAAACTCCACAATCTCTTGACATAGATGATGAGGATGAAGATGTTATCGTTGATTCTGATTCAGATGAATCAATACCATTACCACCAAAAATTTCACCCGTCAGTGAGAAGTCAAAATCCAAACATGAAAAACATAGTAAAAAAGAGAAGCACAAAAAGAAAATGAAACGAACAGATGATGGAAGCAGTAAATCCTCACACAAATCGCATTCAAAATCTAAAAAAGATAAACACATTCATAAACCAGCATCTTTCGTAACCACAGAAACAATATCTGAAAAATCAGTTAAAATGAAAGTTAAACTAAAACATTTGAAACACCCTGAACCTAAACTTTTTGACGTCGATCAAGATTTGTTTAAAGCTGACATGAAACAAACACCAAAACCATTTAAAGAAGAGAAACATAAATTTAAAGAAGGCAAGCATCATAAGACAAAAGAACATAAAAAGCATTCGACACCGAAATTATCGGAAGTTAAACAATCTTCTGGTGAACACGATATGTCAGTGGAAAAAATAATTCTGAAGAAGTCAAAGAGCGGAGATGCAAAAGTAGTCAAACCCAAAGTGAAAGAACACGCAAGGTCACCTTCACCACCATCTCCGGTGATTAGTCGAAATTTACCATTGCCAAAACTTTCTGCTGCAGTTCCCGTCATGAATGTTACAGCAACAATCAAAGAAAAGGAAAAGAAGAAATCTAAGAAAGAGAAAAAGAAGAAGAAAGATAGAGATAAGGACAAAGATATTGATATTGGATGGTCACATGATAAAGAAATAAGAAGGGAAAGCAAAGAAAGAAGTCATCATAGAGAAAAATTTAAAGATCCTGAGAAAGACGTCGCTATATCGTTAAGACGTGATTCTTTTGATTCTGATGCTCCTTCCCCAATGGTACCAAAACTAACATTAAAAATGGGAGCAAGTGAGAAAAAATTTGTTATTAAGCAAGGTGGCAATTCTAGTGTCAAATCTAGTACCAAAAAACGGTCACATTCTTCTATTGGCGACAGCCCAATTCCTGCCAAAGAACGAAAGGTGTCTGTAGAAAGTGTAAAAACTGTTTCAGAGAGTTTTGCAGCTGCTGTTGAAAGAAAAGTTATCACTCAAACGATAAGTGCTGGCCCAGCTCCGGCTCCACTCGGTGTATATGAAGACGAAGATGGGAATAAGGTTTGCATTTTTTCTGTACTTTTTCCGCTGTTTAGCATTTGATGCAACTTGCAAGTGGAACTGTTAATACGATTTTACTTCCAAATATAGAATCATTTTAGACTGCTGTGTAGGATTTAGCATGATAATCTTTCCTGATATTAGTATATTATTTTCCTTATAAATCTTGTACTGGTTTTGTTCAGAGTGATAAGTGTGGAAAAGTCGCATAGAAAAAATCACTTTAATTATAAAATTCTATTCATACGGCAGTTGAGTGGTTTCAAAAAATTCGCATTTCTTTAATTTAAAAAAAAATATATAACCTTCCTATTATATAGAATATTTTCTTGTCATTTATCGAATGCCCTAGCTTATGAGTGTATAATAAGCTGAGATTTTTAACCGATTCCACCCAATTGATGCTCCATTTACTCAAAAATACATATCCATGTCAAATTCAGCCAATACCACACCTGATCAAGTGTGTAATTTGTCTGGCATTTTATTTAGCTTGTATGTGATTGCCCATTGCGTATATGTAACTATTTTTTTGTTTTTTCACTCCATGGAAATTTAATGTTGTTTTTTGACACACCTGAAATATGTTAAACCATATCTGAAGCGCTTTTTTATTCATGTTTATGGATAATAATATTGGGTGGTAACTGTCTCCGATGACCGCATGGTTGTATCGTTGCCACCTAGTCTGAACCGAGAACTATTTTGCATTTGATTAATTATGTTTTGTTGTGTATATGTTTTCTAGGGGACAAAACAAATAAACTCTCTCTCAGTATTCTCTGTCATAATAATCTTGGCTTATTCGATGCCAAAAAAACAAAACTACAGTGTGTATCAACTATCTTATTCTGTTGCAGGTATGGATTTGCCCAGGATGTAATAAGCCTGATGATGGTAGCCCAATGATTGGATGTGATACATGTGACGATTGGTATCATTGGCCTTGTGTTAACATCAAAAAAGAACCTCCTGATGATGTGGATTGGTATTGTCCAAGATGTATCAAACGACAACAGCTAAGTAAACTGAAAGGATCTGCTAAAAAACGTAAAAAGAAATGAAATTGAATAATATTGGGCGATGGGATCTGATTGATGTGGCACTGCAAGGCTGTTTTTGCGGATATTTGAACAAGGAATAAGTTTGGCTCCATGAGACCTGTAATATACCAACAAATCGACATGTGAATAACTTATATGACGAGTGATGACCATGCATTGTCCCGTTTTTTCCGAATTATGAAATGATTTTGAAGGTTAAGACTGGCAATAGCACCATCTGTTAGCCCCGTGCTTTGCTTAATTAAATGACTGTCATTCTATCTTTGTTATGCTTGTGAAAGATATTTTGCTAAGAAAGCTTCGATCATATATTGCATTTTTGCATGGTTATTTCATTGCCCAGATTTGAAGAAAAGTGACAGAAATGGCAGAAAAGAATTTTCGTAACTGGGTTTTATTTGTCAGCCTTTTAATAGCCTTGCCGACAAAGGCTGCGTGTGTTTTGACTGTGACTAAGAAAGGTGTTCAATCATGTCCAACGAGTAAGGTTAAATAGTAATTTATGGTTTGAATCTTTAATAATATGGATGAATATTATGGATACGAAATGCTGGCGGGTTTTATCACATTGACAAGTAAAGCGGTCAGAGGCAGTCCGAGATGTGGGGAGATTTCACACAGCCATTGAGAGAACGGATAGATATGAGTCTATATTCCTTATCCTAAGCAAAACATGGGTATAAATAAAGATAACATGATTTGAGGCTGAAACACAACAATAGTAATTTGTCCTTGGAGAAATTCAGCCAACATAATAGTAGCGTGGTGCGATCGACGAGTGTTTTTCTCCCCATAGCTGGTTCATATATGTTGACAACTGACCGTGGTTCTCCATATAATTGAGCCATGTTATTTGGATTCCTGCCAGGAGATGAATATGAAAATTAAACAATATTACTAGGGCTGAGAATTTCAGGGAAAACACGTTAACCGGGTAAAATTAACCGGTTAACCGCCGCGTGACGTTTGACGTAATAATTATAATTTCAGCTTGTTGCGTCACAATGGTTATAAGGCAATTTCGCGTGTTCTTATCCCGGTATCGCTCAAAATTATTCACGAATCGAGATAGTTTCATGATTCCTCTGCTGCAAAAGATAGGCAGCGGGGTTCGGGCATGTGGAAATATTTTAGAAATCCCGATTCCGTTGTTAAACGTCATTTATGTGACAAATTCTTAGTGTTCGATGTGCAAATTCTACTTCGAGATATATATCATACAGAAAAACGGCATCAACTGCACACTTGTTGTATGACATTGAATATCCGATTTTGCAATGAAATCGTGAACAATATATTTCGAAATCGACCGAAAACTGATTCTGAATTTATCATTGTAAATTTTCATTATCAGCAACCTTGGAACTTCCATTATTTTTCACATTTATTGATTCCTTACCCACACAGTTAGTAATATTTTTTTTAATTGAACGCCGCAAGAGATAAATTTGCGATGACGTAATCATATTTGACGATGTTGTACGGTATGAAGATGATTTGTACCTGAGATGTCAGTTAACGGTTAAAATAAATCATAACCGTTAACCATCTGAAATCGGTTAATCGGTTAACCATTCCCAGCCCTAATTATTACGCAACTAACGACCAAATAGGCTTGTGGTTAATTTGCCGCTGTCAGGTCTGATACCGATTTATCTGAAAACGAATATTTAATGCCACACCCAGCTGGTACCGTACCGGTAACCTAGTGAGAGACCGTGGTACGTCATATGACTAAGCCGTACAATCGGCTTTCGTATCCCCCGGGATAAATATGTAGCCCACGGTAGGTTCAATCCAACTACTAACGTAGCCTACACAAAGCTTTGGGCCTGAATATAATTGACGTTGAAAAAGCAACGCACGCAATAACAGTAGTTAATAAGATAACTCATTTAAGGCGTTGCTGGCGCGATGACTTTGGTGGTCTTTCGCGGCTCCCCCGTCCATTGCGCGAATATTGTATGTCTGCTCACTTTAATGGACCTTTCCCCGAGCATCGACTTCCTTGTTTACTCCGTGATCGTGGCCAATCAACAAGATGCAAAAAGTGACGTAACAATGCTCCCTTTTCGCATTCGCTCAGACACTTTTCTCACTCAGACAGATTTTTAAGCGTGGTCGTAAACATTTCCTCGTTTTCGCGTTTTATAACTCTATTCGTTAGTGTTCAGTTGTGTTTCGGAACATTAAATGTAAATCAGATAATTCAATGATCACTCTGTCTTCCTAGGAGTTTTTGGACACGTAGTGGACATAACGATCGTTTCAATATTATGTTGTTGTTGTTCTTGTTCTTGTTATCCTTGTTGTTGTTCTTGTTCTTTGACACGTTTTTAAAAAGTCGCTTTTCTCTTCGAATACTGGACCAATTGCTTTGAAATTTTCAGTGGTTGAAGATAAAATTTTTCTCCAGAAGGCTATTACTTTTTTTTTCGCTATGACGTCATCAAAATTATTGCCATTGGGTGGCGCTACGTGTCCATATATTTGAGCATAGCTCTCTTGTTATTTAATTGCAGTAGTAAATATTAGTGTAGAAATAGCTGTGATAGACTAGGCTAAAATTCTTTACCGGTACTTTTAGAAAAGCAGATTGTTGTATGCGATGAATCATAATGATGGTTTGAAACACATACTTATTTCACAGGCGCTAAATCGCAAAAGCACTTTTAAAATAGCCCCGAAAATTTTGCAATGGTAAAGTATAGAAAGAATTTTTTGGGGGTCAAAGGTCGGGGAAAGGTCCATTGATTTTTTTAATATTATATTTGTTCAATTGCGTGGTTACAATATTTCATGCACGACGAAATAAATATCTGAATCAAAATCAGACCGTGAATTTAGCGAACTTGATCAGACGTTTCGTGAATCTTTATTGCCGTCTGTTTGTGTTTTCATATGGTAAAATAGTCGATTTGTGTCCCCGTGTAATTGTTTATTATACCTTATTATACGTAATTTTATACCGTACCGTAAATAAATACATTATTTTCTCCAAGTAACCATATTTCCATCCTAATTATGTACCACATGATATTTCTCATGTTTTAAACTTTTTTAAAGGTTTTGCTCGCTCTCCAGAATCCTCCTTTTATATTTTGTGTGTATGTTACAGCAGCATTTAGCGCTGGCATTTCAATTATGTATTCTAAGATAGCATTATTGTGCGGGCTGCCTCAAGATGCCAGCATCTGTGTGTGTTCCGGCAAATGGAACATGATAAAACTTTGGTGATCGTGCACACGCTGTGGAAGAAAAGAGATGACGATGAATGAATCATAAAAAAACAAGAGAGCTATGCTCAAATATATGGACACGTAGCGCCACCCAATGGCAATAATTTTGATGACGTCATAGCGAAAAAAAAAGTAATAGCCTTCTGGAGAAAAATTTTATCTTCAACCACTGAAAATTTCAAAGCAATTGGTCCAGTATTCGAAGAGAAAAGCGACTTTTTAAAAACGTGTCAAAGAACAACAACAAGGATAACAAGAACAAGAACAACAACAACATAATATTGAAACGATCGTTATGTCCACTACGTGTCCAATAAGAATCACAATGATTGAGGGCTATAGCGACACCTCACGGAGCAGAAGCCCGAGGGAACATGTACGGTCGCCCACAAGCATGTCGCGCTGTTCTGCTGTTGGGTCGCAATTTGTATGCGCTGCTGGAGAATGCAATTTTATTCAGATATTTGGCTATAGACTGGAAGATATGAGAGAGATCGCTGACGTTAGTGAGTTCTTTATCGTCGGCGCAGATGTGCATCGACATGTGCAAAAATCGTTTTGCTACCGTACACCCACTAAAAGTAAGTGAGGGTTAGGAATAACATATGCAAAAATCGTGTGCTACCGGTACCGTAGGTACGCCCACTAGAAGTACTTGTGGCACTAAACTATACTAGACCCCACAAAACAATAATCAATCACTGTTAATATTGCTGAAATATTTTTTTTATTGTAATATGTTTATATTAGTGTTGATTTTGTTTTTGTGGCATTAAATCTCTCTCTACTGCTCTAGGATGCCGTATCTCCCCTGATCCAACAAGTCCCATCAATTTTGAAATTATTTGATACCGGTACAGGTAATACAGTAGACACTGATGATAGTCTACACTGAATATTGTAATAAAAAATAACCTATGCCCGTACTGCCGTATAGGTATTAGCGTGTCTGTAAGTACCGGTACTCTCGTAGTGTGTGCTTATGAAACTTTCAACTTTTTTTTAAATCCTACCATACTACTGCAATATATATACTACTACTCATATATGTATGAAAATTTATGTTTTATTTGTGTCTCTGTGTGCATTTATATTACAGTATTATATATAGGCTATCTTCTAAATATATTAAAACTTGTTGAATTTTGTATACACACACGTCTGCACGTTGGGTGATAAAGAACATTTGTCTGACTGCTCGATCTTTTCAACAAGTTGAAAAAGAAGATCTGAAGATGGCTGCAAAATATTCAGACTGTGACGAAATTACAGAAAAACTAGCTGATATTTCATTAAAGCCATCAGAAAATGCAGCAAAGGAGATTTCTCAGTCACCACCTTCCCAACCTGAACAAACAGGAACAAAAAATAAGAAAAAGAAGAATAGGAAAAAATCTGCCAAAGCGGCAGCTGCAATAAACGATGAAGGTCAGAATAATTTGAAAGTTAAATCTGTGGATATCAAAGAAATTATTAAAGCCCAACAGGAAGAATCTGCTAGGCAGAAATGGAAATTTTGGAACACACAGCCAGTGCCAAAGCTAGATGAAAAAGTAGAAGAGGTTGGAAAGATAGAGGCTGACAAGGATAAGATCAAAGAAGATAGTTACACGCTTCCTGCAGGATTTGAATGGGACACTCTGGATCTTAAAAATAGTGCCCAGTTGAAAGAAGTCTATGAGTTATTGACAGAGAATTATGTAGAAGATGAAGACAATATGTTTCGTTTTGATTACTCTGCTGGATTTTTGCAATGGGCACTGCAACCTCCGGGACATTTCAAAGAATGGCACTGTGGAGTTCGAGTGGTAAAAAATAAGAAGCTTGTTGGTTTTATCAGTGGTGTTCCATCGAAAATTAAAGTCTACGAACAAGTGGAAAATATGGTTGAAATAAATTTTTTATGTGTCCACAAAAAACTTCGAGCGAAACGAGTTGCTCCTGTACTTATTAAAGAAATCACAAGGAGGGTCAATCTGAAAGGAGTTTTTCAGGCAGTGTATACAGCAGGAATTGTCCTTCCTAAACCTATCGCAACATGTCGGTATTATCATCGTTCTCTTAATCCTAAGAAGCTCGTCGATGTTCAGTTTTCACACATTGGAAGGAATCAAACTATGCAACGCTTGATCAAATTGATGAGATTACCTACTGATACGCAGACGAAAGGATTGAGAGAAATGAGAAAGAAAGATGTAGCACAATGTCATACCCTCTATCTGGATTTTGTTAAAAAATTTAATTTGACCCAACTTTTTACTTTGGAAGAATTTGAGCATTTTTTCTTGCCACGACCTGGTATTGTGCAGAGTTACGTTGTTGAAAATGCAGAAGGTAAACTGACTGATATGTCAAGTTTTTTTTCTCTCCCATCTTCAATTATGAGCCATCCTGATCATTCAACTTTAAATGCTGCTTACTCATTCTACACAGTTCATACAGAAACAAATATCACACAACTCATGAAAGATATGCTTATTATAGCTAAACAGCAAGGCTATGATGTGTTCAACGCTTTAGATTTGATGGATAATCGACAATTTTTGAAGGAACTCAAATTCGGTATGGGTGATGGGAATCTCAATTATTACCTTTTCAATTATAAATGCCCTGTGATAGAATCTGAAAAAGTTGGACTTGTGTTACAGTGATGAGCAATATCTGATCTTGTAGTTTTTCTGACATAATTATAATGCATGTAGATGATTTTTGTAACGTGTAGATTTTACACAAATATGTGTTTAGAAATATTGAAATGGGAATCAATATCATAGATTGAATTTGTTCGAAGTAGGCCATGAGACAAGTTCTATTTCATTATAATTAAACTAAATTTTGTTCTGGACTCTGGTGCAGAAAATATTTGAAACAGAATCAAAGTTAATCTAGGCTATTCTATACGTTCACTCACACTGCAATGAGTGTTAAGGGGTATAGGCGGCCATATTATAATCGTTGTTGAATTATTGAAGGCGTGTTGATGAAGCTAGTTGAGAATATGAGGTATTCAATATTTGACTGGTGAACAATTTGTTTTGAATGCCAATTACCTATGGACATTTCCATTTCCAGATTAATTGTGTGATGTATATTGTCTTCCGCCAGGTAATATATACTTTTGCCCCCTTACCTGTCTCTTGCTGCTTGAAAAAGACAATATATAGCCAATCACTTTGTCACAGGCTTTTTATCACTGTGGTGTGTGAAATACTGTAATTGGAGACTGGAGTTTATGGTTTTGAATTGGTTGTCATAAATTATTCAACCATGGTCAGTGAGAGTTGTGCAAACCAGTAATCTTAATCCTGTGAAGCTAATATACTTAATACCTATTTAACTATTAGGTATTACTTAATGTTAATATCCATTAATTTGACTAGTATGCAAAGTAGTTTATAACAGGGTTGTACTTTCAAGATGCATACGGATTGCTACATACTTTTATATATGCATTCCAAAATAACTTGTCTGGATAATAATAACATATTAAATTGCCTAATATACATATTTATGTATAGGTAATTGACGAAGTTTGACGTTACCCAATTGATATTGTTGAATTTTAATTGTTTGAGTTTGTAATGAAAAAGTATCCGTAATATTTAACTGATATATCTCTATCAAGCAGGCACAGTAAAAACATGGACTGTTTCTTCTATATTCTTCCCATAGGTACTATTCTTCAAGCAGCTCCTATAAATTATTATTTTGTTAAAATTGAAGTAGCCTACTATTTTTACTTAAATTTGGATGCCTCCTATTAACAAATAAATTTTTTGCCGAGTTTTTGAGAAATGAGTTCCATGGTGAATGTTGGAAAATTCTTAGTTGCTCCATTTCTATTTATGCTGTTTATATAACTGATATTACTTAACACTTTGTATTAAAATGTTTTTTTTTTCTGTTGCTACAAACTTCAATCATTTTTGTTGCCACAGCAAAGCATGGATGATTATGAATATTGAAATGCAATTACAATTTCCAGCTATTTGATATAATCTTGTTATTTGATTTTAAAACATTTCCAAGTACTGGTAGTTATATTTGCATTAATAACAAAAAATTATAATTGATCAGAAATACAACCTGTATTATGAAGTCTATGATCATGCTCCATTTGTAAAAATTAGACTTTCAAATGTGAACGCATATTCTGTACCTGGATTTCTCAAATCACCTCATGACAGCTTGTGATATTGGAAGGGATATTTTTATGACATGGTGTTGTCTAGCAAAGCAAGGTCTAGCCATCTCTAAGATATTTAGAACCAGCCATTCTTTAGTCAGCTATTTTTCAGTAACATATTGCCACAATAGAACCAAATTAGCTTATGGGTTGTTAATGAAACCCCATTTTTGTAATTTGCATATCTGTACAGCCAAACCTTATAAAGGACATAAGGCACTACCTAAAATCAAAACTAAATCGGGTTCAGTTTTGAAACCTAGACCAGAAGATGGCCACTGGTCCAAGATGACGGAAATTCAAAAAAAGTACACTTCTGAAAAATGACTTTGGTTTTACTATGATGGTATGATTATTAATTAGGTTATTAATGATGTAATATGAGTGAAACAGATTTAGATTGCTCGTGAACTTTTATTTCGTATCAAATTGAACAAAATGTGTAGTGAAACGGGTATCATAGATAGTTCTTAGTCCTATCATTTTGCTCGATCCTTATTTCGAATTTCACAGTAGCTAATTTTTTTGTGCTTGAATGTATTATGTATGATTCTTTCTTGTTTTTATAAAGGTTAGAGCACTATACTAAAATTGATAATTAGGTTTTCGGAAACTCTTTTTTTGATCATGTTTTACATACCGGTACTTGCTATTTTATTCAAGACTCATCGATAATTCAAAGGAAAAGTTTTACATGGTGAAACGGTAAGTAATATTTTCAAATTTACATGACATTTCTGAATAATAGCTGCAAAAAACATCCAAATGTTTAAATTTACTGAAGTATGAAACACTTTTCATGTTCTAAATTGACGATTTGGTGCTGTGGCTTAGTCGTTATAAACACACCATATGTTATAAACACTTCTCTATACCCATTTCCTGACTATAAAATTTTTGATAATAGCCTCAATAATGTCTTGGATCAAGAACGGTTCTTTTTCTTCGGATCCGTAGCTACATTTCTGTATTTTGAACTTTCTTTTCTGGTAGAATATCTTTGCTTAATAATTGATATTTAAACCAGTCATCTTTTCTTTCAGTTCATTAAACTCGTAGGATTGAAAAATGGAGGCAAAACAGAGTAATAGCAAAGCTGCTAGTATATCTCAAGGTAAAAGGCTAGTTAACATGATTCTATGGTAGTGTGAGATTATCTACCTAACTACGATGTTCTTGAACTTTATAATTAGAATTAATATGAGAGGTTACATCAGGATATCATTTTCAATGAGTTATTCTAATTCTTTTAAATACCTCATCAGTCATCTGCTGCAATGGTTTAATATAAAATTTCAACCTTAATTAATATCATAAAACTCACAGCTAAAAGGTAATTCAACTCAGCTTGACTTGACGATGAGCAGCATGATCGACAAACTGCCAAACATTTTCAATTTCATTGGTTGTTTCGTACTTGCTTTTGAATATTTTGACCAAATTTTTCAACAGATGCATCTGCCAAAGTCGGTAAAGCTGGTTCTGAGCAGCAACAAGATTCTGTTACTAATCGTATCGTTCGCTGGAAGAAACGAATGAGATATCAGCCACAGAATGTTGTAGTCAACAAGAAGAAAGATTGTATGTCGCTAGAAATTAAATATAACTTGAGATACTGATAAGTTGTTAAATTTGTTAAATAAATTTGTTTTTCGAATTCTCAATTTTTTTCTGGACAACCTTTATCAGATATCAACAAATTTGCCGGTTTTCATTATTTTTGCTAAATCCTGTAAAATTTCTCCAAACCTAGATGAGAGAAAGCACTTCATAGTTCATAGAATTTAATATGTCATATTTGGCAAAAATTATGCAGAGACTTTTGTTGATTATTATGCAGTCAAAAACAACTGAACAACCAGGGCTATGGAGTCTTCTTTTGGTTGCCAAAACTTTCCAGCTCCTGACTCCGGATAACAAAATTTGAAATAAAAAACTTTAGCATATGCAATCATTTAAGTTCGATTTGAAATTGTTTTTTTTCATTTCGGACCACAGTACTTGTACCAAATACTAAATCTAACTATACATGTCATGGGTATAAAATTTTGTATACTAATAAAATTACATAAATCATCAAAGCATAATTTCATTTTTTACCAATCATTTTTCAGCTTCTCGTCATGAATATTACAAAGATATGGTTGATTCGGAATCACAAAGCCAAGTTGAAATTCCTAGAGGTAATATTCAATATTTGTACAATGTATAGAAGCAGTTCATGTCTTTTCAGGTATTTGCACATCACTAGTGTTTATGTCCGCTAGGTACAAAATTTCACAAAAAATGAGGAATTTGCTCCGAAAATAGTTTTGTTTCTTTTGTCATCCTCATCCATTCACACCTGCATTATTCGTTTGAAAGTTTCGTTCTTCAACTTACCGAATTTATTGATTCGGCCAATTTTAGTTGGGTGATTAAATTAAAACAAAATCTAGCCATGGATGAGATTACTACTGAATTTTCTAAAATTTTGTTTTAAAATCCATTTCAATATTGGATATTTGAACCTCCATATGTAGCAGCAATGGTAATGTTTTTTTAAATTTCATTTTGCAAAATGGGAAAAAATGACATAAAAATAATTTATAATAATAATTGAGATTATATACCAATTTTGGTTATCCTCATTATTTTAAACTGAATTATTTTGATCTTACTGTATTTGGTATCGTTTGCTTTTATGGCCATCAACTGGATTTGACTTCTGGTTGAATGATTTGACAATTCTTATGGTAGTTACTAATTTTTTTAACTAGTTCGCCACATCAAAATTTTATATTCAACATCAAATTGCAATATTGATAATCAAGATGATTTGGGCTTTACAATTTTTGCATGAATCCCAAGTTTTTTTTATAAATACCTATCACACTTCTACAGGTGATAAGTGTCAATTCTTATTTCTTGATATATTTTAGCCATCTGTGTTGCTGATAAAGTAGAATCATCTGCCAAAGAGATGAAAGCGATGCTACAAGCCGTATCACAGCACACAAGTGATAGAGCTGTCCTGCAGGTAAAGAACAGGAAAAACATTTTCTTTAATTGTTCATTAATACTGAAGTAAGATCAAATCATAGAAGATCATTAGAATGTATCAGGGCTTCAGAAGTCTAAAAGGAATAAAAGGGGAGTAAAAAAATAAGGAAAATTGGAGAATAGTAGAAAATGTTTGTTGTATTTCTGATAACCATAATTGTTGATCGAAGCAAGGAATGATGTCCAGATTCCCCAGCTTATGTCTAATAAGATAATCAACTTTTTGATGCTTAATGCGTATTAAATACTTCTCGACACCTATTTTGTTTTGCAACACTTTTTAAATGACTTCAAAAATAATTTGGAAGCAGTAAAGAAATTTAAGTCATTTAAAACTGCATGATAAATATAATAATTATGGTTTATGATTCACTCACTTGTAGAAAATTCCTCGTCACATGAGAAGACGTGCTGCGTCTCATAACAGGAAAAGACTCCCACGTCGTTTGCATCAACTGGCTGCTGAAATGTCTGCACAATCAGAGGTTTGACTAGAATATGTTCTTAAGCAAAGTGTTTTTAATAAGAATAGAGGTAGTAAAATTGAAATGATGTAATGATATTATAGAATTAAAATATCTTAGCTGATCATGCGTTTCTTTTAGATTCATTCGAGGGATAAATCCACAAAAGTGCCGAATCGTAAGAAACGCAGAAGAAAGAGAGATCTTCAAAATGAATTTGCCAAAAGAGCAGGTGTGGTATAAATTTCAACAAAAGCATTCAGAGAAATGATTAAAATAGTAATTTATTTAAAATGAATCTAAAAATAAGAAAACTTTTTTGAAAGACATAGTATTTTGGAAAAAATTTGAATATCAGTTCTACCTAAAAGTGGTTCCCGATATTCTTTTCCAGATGACACAATTTTCAAAAAAATAATTTTGATATATTCAAATACTAAATGGCATGTAGGACTTTTATGATCGGCTTGGCTGCAACATTAAATGACTAACAATCATTTTGACCTAACATTTGTTTTCCTAGAAAATACCTTTATTAAGTCACTTTGAGACTTTGATAATTGATAAGTCGATGCGATGCAATTACTTGAGCTGCCCCAAGACTGGTTCAAACACAACAAACCAGTATACATATGTTAACATTTTGAAAAGACCAAAACAATATTCAATATTTTATTTCAGGAAAGCATGGCTGGTTGGAAACTCACATGTGGCATGCTAAAAGATTTCATATGTCTGAATCAACTGATCCTATGTTTAGACATTGGGGGAACCGAGTCGCATTGTTTCCAAATGATAAAAGCTTTCGTGCATGTTACAGAGCTGTTGCTAAGCATTGTTTAATTCAGGTAAGAGAGAATACTATTTCTCAGTGACCCCAGGTTCGGCTGTGTGGCGCATCGTAATAAGCGTTAGGAATATGATTGCCTCAGCACTTCTGATTACCCTGCGTGGGTTCGAATCCTGTGGGGGATGTGCGAGAGGATTGCTGAAATATAGCTAGGCCATCAATTTAGATTTTAGTATAATGTGATATTTTTTATACCTTATACATTGTATGTTTGTTTTAAATCTTATTCTTGGGTATTTCTAATACATATATATCAGCTTTTCATCTGTTGTTTTCAGGATTTGTCATATTTAAGATGTCTTCATTTATCTGGAACACATGATCATTTACTCAGATTGTTGACTGGCGTTACTTCACAAGATACAAAATTTGATGACATTGTGTTACATGGTGAAAAGGAGAAAGAAATAGTGCTGTACCAAACAACAACTGGTTCATCAGTATGCCTTGGTCCTGCATATATTTATTGGCGTCCCTCAACTGAAGGTATATCAGAACTCGGAAAGTATATTTGTCTGTCTGGCCTTATTGTTTATGATTTATGAGCATTTCAGTGTTATCTCTTTGTTATTTGACATAGGTGGAGGTTGTCACCAGTTGCATAAAATGCATTTTGGAAATATTTCAGACCTGCATCCTGTGTAATTTACATTCTTTATTATTATGCATGATTAGACTTGTGAAAATTGAAAAAACAAAATAGCCTTAAAGCATGTTTTTACATAATTATACATAGAAAAGTACACAAACAAAAGAGTAAGATGTATTTTCATTGGAGACAAATTGAAATTGAAAAGTCAACTTTTTGAATAAAAAAATGAGAATAAAAAAAATTGGGAGTATTCAACAGAAGTTTGATTCTTTCAATACTATCATCTTACTATTACATGATGATGAAGGACCAGACAGGAAAATAAAATACTTTGTTCCATAATAGCATCATAACACGTTTTGATGTTTGAATGTACGATTTGTTTTGCAGCACAAAACAGCAGGGAAGCTCATTTGTGGATTCATCCTACTATTCTATCAGCCACATTGAGTTTGCTGTCTACATACTGCCAAGAAAACAGTCTCGATGTGAGAATTAGGTAAGAATGAAATTATCAGTTGTTTGTGCTACATTACAGGTTGCAAGTATATGTAGCTTCATCTCTTTTCATTGAAACTTTGAAAAGATTTATATGATGCAGTCTATCATTGGATTTATTGATCTAGTGAATTTTGTGGAGGTGATTGTTGCTGGAAACTGAATTGTCCACAAACAGTTTAGTTTAGATTTTAAATGCTGAATGTGGAATAATTAGTTACCTCGTCAGAGTAATGACAAATCTTTTTCTCTAATATTTTGCACAAAAACTAGAAAACCTCCAGAAATATTTCAATGCCACATTTTCCATCCAGGTTCAATAAGATAAAATAACATATTTATAACAGTAATTTTTTCTCAAATTTCACAGTGACATTTCTGACAATTTACAACGATTTCGATTAACGGGACCCAAGTCTTCTGTATCTCTCCTTTCAATCTTACGACCTTTGAACTATCATGCACCCTCAGACGAGGAAACTGAAAGTATGGTAACAATTATGCAATTTTTTTATTTTTGTAATTTTACAAAAAAAAAATTCATGATTGGGTAGCTCAACAGGTAGAGCACTGAGAATTATTTGTTCTCAGAGGTGTGGGTTCAAATCCCACCCCAATCTTCAACAGTTTTGCTTCTACATTTTCAAAGAACATGAGAGTAAAGTCTTTATATACAAAATCAAAATTATATATATTTCAGTTCGATTGAATAATTTGCTGTGAATATTTCACATATTTCTATCAGATTTTTAGTCATTGCAATAGGGCAACTCCAAGAGCTTTTAATGTTGTTACAATTTTAATTTCTCAATTTTCAAAGTTACATTGATGGAGAAATGGATGTCCGACAATACAGAACTTATTCGACAACTGCACAGTGATTTTATCTCGGTTATGACAGGTATACTTTCCAGGTTCTACTTCTAAGCCATTTCTACGTAAATCTCCAAATTAGACTTATCTTTAGCAATGTCTGATGATGATAAAAGCTGTATATCTTCCGTTTAATTTTTGTATTATTTCTATATTGTATAGGATAAAGCAGAAATGTTTGGGCACAAAAAAGACTATTTTGCCAGAAAAACTTTTTCTTTTGTCTCTCGCTCTTGCCGTGTGCGGCCATGCGGAGCCTCAAATTTCAATTTAGTGCCGAATAAGATTGGGTAAACGTCCCCATAATGCAATCTTCACGTTTTTTTTTGTTCACAACTTACACATTCTTGCCATGTAATTTAGTCTATAGTTTTCTGATGGTTTCTAATAATCTGTTGCTGCATCCCTTTACTGCACCCTATTTCGTGAAGATTGATGGCCAAATTATTACGTCACACTTGCATAGCCCGCCAGTCTAGGTGGGTAACATTTTGGCCCTTGGTTCAAGAACCTTGTTTACCCGTGTACTAGATGCTACTTATAATTTTTTTTAAACTTCCTCTCGAGTCCTATGGGATCCGATATGTCACCCAAAATTTGACGGCTCAAATTTAAGTCAAGTGAACACTTTTTATGACTCCTCATTAAGCTTGCTCACATATCTTTTCAGCAAACTACATTCTCACCTAAGGTGATCACGTACCGGTACTAATTCCCAACTTTGTGTTCATATATTTGAGCATTACTCTTTTGTTTATTTCCAGATTGTCACAGACAAGTGTTTGCAAGACCTGATAAAAAGGTTTTATTGGAAAATAATACACCGGAATATAATGATGGTTGTATATTTCCTGTTATAACGAATGATCCAAGACTCATACTTCCCCTTGATAAAACAACTCCGACATTGACTGAAGCTAAAAGTAAGTTTTGTAGTTGAATGTTAGGAATCTTGAAATTGAAATTTCATATTATTGTGGGTGGTGTGAAGTAATGTAAATGTACATGCAATAATTTTGATATAATTCCTCGCAATTTCTCATTCCCTAATCGCTCAAACAACCTACTTTTTGATGCCCCACAAACAATATGAAACATAGCAAATGGCATGTGAGATTTGAGAATATTTTTCTCATCATTCTTACGATAAATAGTCAGGTCAACAAATATTTTTGAGATGGGCAATATAACATGATGCTAAAGTGCTAGTTTTATAATAGTTTTCAAATAAAGGGACATGTTTGTTCGGTTTAATTGGAAAATGATCATAGCAGTCACTGTTAAGCGATTTAATCTTCTGAATGAATTCAATTTCAATTCAATACAAGTAATTTGTTTTTCAATAACATCGCTGAGGAATAGATGTGAAGGAGTCATAATACAAGTTTTTATTGATAGATTATCTTTATATGAAAATGTGAAGACATGCTTATTTCTCCTGTATTTAGAGAGATTGAAAGAGTCCATGGAGGAACAATCCTGCCACGTAGATGAGGTACCCAGTGAAGAGTTTTTAACAGATGCTTATTCTCATGATTTTGAAACTACTTTGTGTAAAAGTCCATTGTGGGATCATGATATCAGAAATCAGGTGATAGTGAATACCTATTTTTTATGGATGTACTGAGTCTGTGTAACAATTCAACTGAAATCAGATGGTTGGTTTTGGGTTATTATTGCTTTTAAACATTGTTGTTCATTTTGCTGCTATTCACTCATTTAAATTTATCCTAAATCTGATAGGTCAAGGTGAGACAATTGAATTACTGAATGAAGCAACATCAACAGCTCTAAAGTAGTACCGGTATATAAAAATTGAAACCTAGGGGAATAGCTGCTTTTTATTATAAATTGTGTTAATACCAAATTTCTCTTGTAAAATTATTTTGCTTTACAGGTATCACAAAATAGAATTCCAGATCATATTGTAAGCACAAGAAAACGCCAACAAAAATTTGAAAGAAATGAAAAAGTAGTATCAGAAAGCACTCTAAATACGACAATACCAGTTATTATTATTCGTAAATCACCAAATGAAGGTTAGACTTCTATTTTCTTTGCTTTCTATGTTTAATGTACGTTCACCGGCCCGATGGTTTGATCATAGGTTCGGCTATAACGTCGCTGTATCTTAAATATATTGCATTAAAATCCCATTCCCACCACCAAACTGGAAAATTCTGATCCTTTTAAAAATAGAACTCATTAGGGAAACAATAGAGCTTGCAGAGTACATTGTCACAGCGAGAATACAAAAAAAATATGCTATTTGTTTGGCCTATTCAATATGTTTACTAGTTACCAAATTATGTTTTGCAATCTTGCTATTTGTTACTCTAAAGCAGTCGTTTCCAATCTTTTTTGTTAAATTTCTCCCTTCCCCTATTTGGAACTGTTTATTCTTTCCTCACTATGCATAAAACTAATTAACTTGCTCAACCTTTAATGAATCCTTAGCTAGTATTATGCGCAAATCAACCGCCTTTGTACTGTTCAAGTAGTTTATAATGTGTGCATAAATAACTATTATTCATTAATAATAAAGAACCAAAGAATATTGATAATACTACGGCAAATACAAATCAAAATTTCTCTCCAAGAATGATAAAATTCCTCCAAAGTAAGCAAAGGTTGCTCTAAAGTTTAAAACTATACTTTCTAGGTAGGAGCTTGACTACAATCAAAACTGGAACAAATGAAGATGCAACATGCCAGCATAAGAACAGTGTGCATTCTGGTCCAACTGGAGATTTTGCATCAGGTTGGGATATTATTTTACCAAGTGGTTGGGGAACTGCCTTCTGGATTCCAAGTATTTATCATCGTGTTAGAGCAGGTGCTTTGAGAGAAAATCAAACTACCAGCTTGGTGAGTGTATTTAATACTTTCAAATTGCTTTATTCTATATTTAAAAAGTAGATAAATTTTGAAATGTTTCCGACAGTGATTGCCAGGTAGTTTTTAAGGCTAAGTCTATTTTTGGTTAACATCTCAACTTTCTTTGATCATAACTTGTGTTTTTACATCATCAGGAATGTTTGTCACCTCATTTCCCCAAAGATTTTCCTGATACAGAGAGTGGAAGATATTTTTGGAATTCTGAAGCTGATAAACTCGCTAACAAATATTACAGGTAAGCTCTTCTGATTTTGTACACTTGTCTGCAAGTTTTTTCATAAGTGTGGTCTTGATTGAAGCTGTATATATTATGCTTTTGTGGAAGGTTTCTTATGGACACCAAGTGTACATATAAATCGTTTTGTTATTATGTTGTTGTTCTTGTTCATAATTCATTTCGTCGTCTTCTTCTTGTGTGAAACTCACTCTTCTCATTAAATACCGGAACAATTGCTTTGAAATTTTCAGTGGTTAAAGATTGGATTTTTCACTAGAAGGCAAATATTTATATTTATTTTAAAAATTTTTAGTGAGATCCACGGGATTGTTTTTTGTGCGCGACGATGTCATCAAAGTTAAAAATTGGGTACCTTGTGGCGGTTCCGTGTTCAGGCGAAGTCGTGAAGACTGCAGTACCAGTAGTCTACTGTGACAGATTGCAAACCCGTACTACTTTGATTTGGCCTTTGTGTCCATCAGTGTTAACTCTAAGGAAATTATGAGTGCGAAAGTGCTGTCCATATATTTACATATCGCTTCTCTTGTTATTTTTACATAGTTGATTGTCTTGTACAGAAAACCACCAGCCAAGCGACCAAACTACAGTGTTGTTGCTGTACCTAGTCCATTTCAGCCAGATTGGAATGGACTGTTTAAAAAAGAACAATTGCAAGTTTCTGAAGATGCTGCTACAAAGGTTTTGTTGAGATATTTAAAAATTATATTGCAAAGCTCGTCAATACTGCATTGATTCAGCTTGACAATATTTATATTGCTTCTAATATACAATTGGTTTTAAGTTATATTTGTTCTTAGTTGGCATATAGGTGAGAAAAGGTAACTAACTGTATATGTTTTTGTGGGTGCAACCATCTTGTGCAATATTTGCATCTGTCCCTCTCTTTTTCATAACCATGAATCATACAAGCATTATCATTCATAGGGATTGAAGCGACCAGCCAGTGATGAAGATAATATTGTCTCTGAGAAGAAGTTAAAATTAGAGATTGACATTGATGATGAAAAGGAAGAAACATCACTTAGTTGCAATGAACAGAAGAGTGTTGCTGTTGATGAGAGCCAACAAGAAAATGCAAATACGCAAAAGGTTTCCCAAGTTAGTTTCTATCCAGCATTTATACTTTATTCCTATTGAAAGTTCATAGAAATTTAGAGATTCTATATTGTTCCAATAATTTCAATTTTGAAGACATTAATTTCTTCTGCAATATGATATTTCCAATTACTTTATAGGTAGATATTAGATCTTCAGGATTTACATATTTATCCCAGGGGAAAGGAATGCCGATTACACAGCGGAACCACGGCCTCTCGTCCAGTCACCAGTGCATGTTGGGTGTGGGATTAATAAGCCAGCTGTTTGTTCCAGATGCACGGACTTATGGTGGAGGAAGCCGTAACCGACCATTAGTACGGGAGAAGTCCAGCAATTCCCTCACACATAATTATCCTCCTCGAGATTCGAACCCATGCAGGGTAATCAGAGGTGCAGTGGAAAGCATATTCCAAACACTTAACACGATCACTCTTTCTGGTTGAAAATTCAGTGATTTGTTTTATCTTATTTTTACTGCAAAGTATCTCATGATGCCATTTTTACAGTGTCACTCTTCTGTACATAATGTTTTTTTGTACATTTTCACATGTATTTTTCAGATTTATGTGATCAGAGACATGAAGGAAATTATTTCTATCAATAATTGGATTACTGAAAAAATTGAATACAAACAATCTCCAGCAAACGGTAATAATTTAAATAAATATTATAGTTTAAAATAGGATTAAGCTGTATTATCAGACCTTTTCTTACCCTGGATAAATATGTAAATCCTATCCTAAATATTTGAATAACTTAGTTCAGTCTTATTACTTATCGATTTTAATCGGTAAGTATATTGATAGGTATTTGTCTGTTTGTTTGTCTGTCTGTTAGATGCACGTGATATCTCACGAAAGCGAGATTGAATCTGCTCCAGGTGAATCTGCTGCATGTGCATTCATCATATGTCGGACTAGAAGCCTATTGATTTTGGATGAATTTTGTCGTATAATTAGCGAGTTATTAAAAAATTAGTTATGGGACACAAGGTGTCACTATGGAGTAAGAGTGCTGTTTTGGGGGATCCCCTAACTTTCGATCGATAAGTCTTCCGTCTCTGACCGATATTCTCGTTTTATTCTTGTTATGTTACTCTAGTAGTGCCTGAATGTGTCTTTGTTCATAAAGACATGGAAGAAGTTTTCCTGATTGACAATCAGTAATATTAGTGATAGTTTTTACTGTCATGGGCAGTTATATTATGCATTATAGATAGGTATAATGATTTGAAGTGAGACTTCTGTTATGTGTAGAATTTTTGCTTTTGAAAATGCTTTATAATGTTAGAAGACAAAAAGTACTTCATATTTTAATAGTTCAAATGGATCATCTTCAATCATTATCCAAACATCTTATATGTGTTAGTGTGAAAACACTTAACAAAGGAATTCCATTTGCTCGATCAATGTTGTGCCAGCCATCATCTGATGATATTGATAATTTATGCAATGATCTAACTGATCTATATAAATATGGATTACAATCAGTTGCAGGACCATGTGAAAAGAGTCATTGGGATCCTTATAGGAAACAAAGGTAACTTTGGACTGATTTGATGTTGAATGTTAGTCATATCTACTGTTCTTGGAAGGCTATTATTGCTCCTAATTCGGTCTGGAACCGTTATACGGTTTACCCGTCGTACTAAGCATTTAAAATACGTTTGCCATCGCTGATTACCCTCCCTGTTTAAATTTTGTGGGGTAAATATGTGCAAAAGGATTGTTAGAATCCGCGCCCACTTGGGGTGATTTAGTTAATAGCTGGTTAGTTGCGGCTTTCCCGATCAATTCCATGCATCTGAAACGAAATACTGACTGACTATTCCTATACACGGCGTGGACTGGTAACCAGGTGCGAGGTCGTGGTTCGCCATATGATTAAGATGTCTGGATCGGTTTTGTGCTCTCCCGGGATAATTATGAAATTTCTATCCTATCCTGAACAGTTTGATGATGAATGAGATCACAATTTTCAATATGTATTGACAGCTTTACCACTGACACAATTTAGCCACTGTAATTGAAAAAGTCAAATAATAGTAATAAGGGATAGTCTTATATTTTGTTAAGACGTTGTGCATAAAAAATAGAACTTTTGTATCTATCATGGTCATGGACATGGAAAAATAGAATGAGGTGCTTGCTCATTTGGCGAATCAGTCACTCTAGTTTACAGTCCATGCCAGATATGGGGATAGCTAACCAATCATTCGTTTCAGATGCGTTGAGCTGATTGGGGTGGAAGCCATGAAATTTGAGTATTGTTATGTTTTATGGAAATTTTAATATTGTGCTTTTTGTAGAAAAGAAGCGAAAAAAGAAGCTGCGAAAAGAAAAAAGGACAGAAAATCTGAGAATAAGGTATTGCTTTCAAAAGACATTACTCAACCAGTGGCTGAAACATCTAGTACATCTCACACTTCAGTATCAGTATCAAAAGGACAACCTCAAACATTCCCAGTTCAACCATCGAGGGAGATAATTGGTTACGTAACTAACGGAGATTTTCTATTTTCACATGCATGCGGTGCAGGTGTCGGCTTCATATCAGCACAAAAATTACAAACTCTTGTTCTGAGACAAATGAAACATGTAAAGCTGCAAAAGATTTTGAGTGAAGAAGATTCCAAGAAATTATTACTTAATAATGACTCGCATATTCCGTTGTTAGCTTTAATGAGAAACACTGATTCTTTACAATATAGATTTGTTAAGATTGAAATGATCAAACCGTCATAGTAATCACAGAAAGAAGACCTACATAAAGGTTTAATGTATCATGGAGACTGTGAAAAAGAGGTAAAGATTAGTTTGACCCCATTCTTATACCATTCAAGGCTTTGGAATTACTTTCCCCTAAATCAGGAATATGACATTGACTCCGGGATAGCATCGTTTTGACTATAACAATTTTGGTGTTTTGAACCTCTCAATTTTAATATCGACCAGACTTCCAGATATCTGAAATTCTCTACAGGGAGTTTAAAATCTACAAATTTGAAAAAAGGACCGGGCTTGTTAACTCCCAGGCTTAACATCTCCATCCTCACTCAGCGATTTGAGGGGTTTAGATCAAGTCGTTGATTACGGATCCTCAAGTTTCTATTACGTGAGTCATTTCACTCAACTTGGGTCAGTCCGATGGTGCACTTTCTATTGTTTCAACTGAAGGATACTATGATCAACGGTAAGACCTTGCCACTTGCTTGATCCACAGAAAATGCTTTGTGTAGGTGAACAGTACACAAATTTTTCATTCACTTGCATTAGGTTACCGCATGTTTCCTACTACTGTTTTCAAGATTGTACAATTGATATTTGTTATGAGAAGTCAAGTGTATCTTTTATGCATTTTTCGTCCACTGCTTCTTGTTGGTCTTCAGTTTCTGTTACTTCAGTGCAGATCAGTCAATAGAAATACTGGTTTGATATTATGTACATATGAAGTTGTTTTTGAGGAATTGAAAAATTGTTAAGTTGGTTTTTATAGTCGTTGGTACGGAAAATGACTTACGGTATGTATTTGAGATTTGAGCACCGTACTTTTTGTCCTGTTTATTTCTTCATCTACTCCGTCATCAAGTTGTTCCGCACTTGCGTTTAAATACTGTATTATTTGGATATTTTTAATATCTATTTTAATGCAGTTGATTTTGTTGGTGGCAGGGTTGTGGTATGATATAAGTATAAGTTTATTTCGACTCCATTATCAGCATACAGGCAATAAAATGATTGATAAAAACAAATAAATGAAAACGATAATGAAATCAGGAGAGCAAGCAAAACCTTAGACAAGGTTTAAAACGTACAGATTATATATATATATATAATTCACAATAAACACACGAGTAATAATAAGAAACCGGGAGGTTTAATGCTTGTGCTCAATGCTAATATGTACTTGTTTCGAGCTTTTTAGGGGATAGAAGATATTTGGATAATTTGTCTTCTTTATCCCGGGGTAGAGGAAAGCCTATAAAACAACTTGATCCTATGGCGAACCACTATCTCTTGTCCATTTGCTAGCCCATTTGGATATGGAATTGGTCAGCCACCATACGGAGGTGAGGAGTCCAGGAATCCCCTCTGGCACTACGCGCCATTGGGAAGCTTTAGTTCACGACACGAAAGTGAAGTCGCTATAGAGCAAATTCAGGGGTAGACTTACAGAAACATGTTGGATTAGATACACTATAGTGAAAGCTTTCATTGAATGATTCCATCTACCACATTCACATATGAACAGTTATTTATGGACTTGAACATTTTGAAAACTGGTATGACAGCTTCCGAATGTAAAACTGTTTTATCGTTCTAATATGGATTTTAAAGACCCTGTCTCCTTGAATTTTGTTTTGTTTAAAGCTTTCCGAGAAAGCTTCAAAATCCTGTCTGATTGCTACATTTGAGTACGAGTATAACAAAAGAATTTTTTTTGTTGAATGGGCCTTCAGTTTTCTATTTATTTCTCGGAAAACAATCGGTTTGTTTGGCAAGTTTTCAATTACACAAGTCAATTTGAAGAGTCGTTAACTAGTTAGTCAAGTATCCAAAAATTCACAAGCTCATTGTTTCTAAGATCTCGACAATTGCCAACTGCTCCCGCACAAGAAATAAGTTTTAGCTTTGCTTATCGGAAGTCTAATCGCGGAGTGGCAGAGTCGTTTAAAAGACTAATTCGCCAACGAGATTATTGTTAAACATGTTTCAAAAGCAGAAATTTTAAGTAAAGTTAAAATCGGAATATATGGTCGTGAGGTTATCCAAGAGTACTTGATCTAAAAACGAAAGTTTGTGTCGGCGATGTCGGTGTTTGGCAAACACGTAGGCTTCAATTGAGTGAGTGTTGTTGTATTGTCTTGAAACTTCCGCCAGGGAAATATTTTGCTTGTTGCTATCACTGATACCCATGTATCTATGCATGTGTGTTTGTTCATTTTATAATTTTAATATGGAAGGGCTTAAAAAAGAAGAAATATAGATACTAAACTTTTGAAAAATTGTATAGGCCTACACCATTCTTTTTTTCAGATGTCCATCCGAATTTGTAAAGCTTCTCTAATAGACAGGCGAGATCTGAACTAGAGATGTACCTCGGTATCGGTATCGGCAATATCAGCCATTTTTACGGTATCGGCCATGTATCGGTATCTGTGAGATTAAGGCCGATATTTCCGATATATTTACCTTTTTGATATGGTCCAGAATGTTTTAAAGATAAGTTGGAATACTACTTTTTAATTCATTTTTTGTCTGGAGAGATCGTGAGCTATGAGCCATACATGTCCCCACCCCCGCGAGAGAATAGGATTCACGTGTTTTTAGCTATTTATCAGCCCAACTAATTTGGCTATTTTCGCTGTCTAATTTTTATATTGACATTTTTAATATTACATAGTAATCATGAAGAAATATATCAACACGGCACATAACAAAAAGCAATTAGACGCCCAGTTTTAAATCATACAGTGAAATTGGGGTCCTTATTAACGGCACATGGACTTTTGGCACGGGTATAAATTCTGACTGTTTGTCGTCAAGTACCAGTGTCATTTAGTCCGTCGACATCAATAAACTAAATTCCGACACAATTATCCCTCTACGCAGGTATTAATTTTGTTTAACTACACAATTTCCTCATAGATATATTGACATGACCGCCTAGCCCTAGGCTGTCACAAAATATATGATAGCAATTGTATAATAATATAAAATAGTAAAGTAAAAAAACGTCCTCGACAGGTAATAGGTAGGCCTTCTTTTGGTCGGTGCTGATTGATATTCTTTCATGTGGGCTTTGACTTACTTATTGCGTCGACGATTACGATTAGCCACAAAATGAAATATTTGAAAAATGCTTTTTATTTGATCGTAGGACGGCGGCCCTAGAATGTGTGGGTGATATTCGATATTCTTTTAAACACGAATAACGATTTTTGAAGGTCGCGATATTAACATTAAATTCATATTGGACATCCCGGCCTATGAGTTTCAATTGAACACCGAGATTACTAGCGTTACTGTACAATGTATCTTAATCAGTTAAAGCATATGGATACCAAACATTAATTTCATATTATGCGACATATATATCTTTTTTTTTCGATCTGAAATATTTTATACTATGAACAACGCTCAAAGACCATTGTTTTAACCCGTCTGCCCTACACAACACACCTAATTAAGTAATATTTACATAGTATCGGTATCGGAATATCGGTAATATCGGCCTTTTTGTAGTATCGGCGTATCGGTATCGGTATCGGCGTTTTTAGCTGGTATCGGATCGGTATCGGTATCGGCGACAAAAGTGGTATCGGTACATCTCTAATCTGAACTAGACGAAAGGCGTTATAGTGGTTGACCTAGTCCAAGTTATGCTACATTCTACAATGACTCGATCATTGAAGTATATTTGCGCGGCAATCACAATAACCATTCTGGTGTGGATTGTGCTGCAACGAGGAAATTACTCAACCATCGACAAAAAAACAAACTTATTATTCTCAAGTCGTCAATCTCAATTTCGAACTCGAAGCATTCAAGAAAATACTGATTTCTGGTTCACTTTTGAGGGAATTTTATTAAAATGGATGAATGGTTTATTACACTGGATTGAAGACAGTATAAATGAATATTCAATTGTGGACGAGGTACACAGACGAAAAAGAAGTTCAGATAGTTCGGTAAATAGTATTTTTATGGGTATATATTATTTTATATTTCTATTTGGTGCAGCATTGATCTCTTTTAGTCGAGAATTCGTAACTCAACTTCTAGTCAGCTTATGCTTCGAAATAAATACTTAAATTTACTTTTCGCGTCCCAATTTAACATTAAAGTTGACCTCCCTAACACTAAACTTGAAACGAAATTCGTAGACGAGCTTTTTACACCTACAAATTCTCATCCAACTGCATTATGTAATTTCTAGGGGGACGGAGAGACAATATCTTGCGCTGATTCTCCGTGTGTACATGGGAAATGCATTGATATTGATAGCGGGTGAGTTTTTTGATGTTGGTTGTCACCTAATAAAGACAGATATACTATATAGTAATAAACTATATATATAATAAATATATAGTCTATAGCAGGGGTCGGGAACCCATGGCTCGCGAGCCATATATGGCTCTTTTGGTGACGGCATATGGCTCCCAGAAAAATCTATTATTCTAAGATTAAGCTTACTATTGTTACTAGACTTCAAACTATTTTATGGCCAAATTTGGAAAAAAATTCCCAATACGTTTGACAACGCGGGCCCAGCGCATGTCTATGTTATGTAAGAGAATTACCAAAACCAGACAGGAATTGTGACAAAACATGGGGATTCTGGAACATATATTGTGACATCACAAGGCGATAGAGTTTTAAAATACTACGGAGATGCCTAAACGAAAAAGGGTGATGAGTATCGTAGATTTCAACTTGGGCTGCATGTGAGCAACCGTTCAAGGCCCGCAGCGACAACATGCAGCATCAGAAGTCACATTAAATGTATATTGACATGGAATGTGTTGACTTTTGAGTAAACGTTTCAGGCCTGATTAAGTGAAGAAATGTTATATGGCTCGCACGGAAATGCAATTGAAAATATGTATATTTTAGGGCTCTCTTGACCAAAAAGGTTCCCGACCCCTGGTCTATAGCGTAAACATTTGTTGATATGTGTCAGAAATATCGTCAAACTTTATAAGATTCCAATTTGTGGCGAGGAATGTATTTGGCATTCGATTGTATTGTATATTGCAACGTGATGTTATGCCATTTCCAAGCGCGTAATATGTGATAGAAGCCATCATGGAAATGAATCAAAACATTTAAACATCAATATCCTCACTCTATAAGTCTAACTAATTTCAAATTAAAAATTCTATACATAGGTGTGATCTTTATTCAATGATTTGGTTTTTGTCTGAGGATCATTACTATGATCTCAACATCATCCAATAGGTGACGTTGTCTTTCTAATTATGACGTAACAATATTTTTGTTGTATACGAATCTTAATTCTCTATATATCACTTAGCTATCAATGCAACTGCAGTCCGGGATGGGTTGGAAGAAATTGTGACGAAGAAGATTTCTGCAGCAGCCAACCTTGTCTTCATAATGGCGATTGTGTATCACAGGATGGCAGACAAAGGTTAGTATACTTGCTTGCTGCAGCTACAGAGTAACTTGTGTCGTCCATAAATGGGTTAGTTATCAAAGCAAAAAATGCCATATTGTTAAATAGAAATCTTCAAGCTTTTTAGTGTCAATTAGTCGTTAAAGGTTCGAATTCATATCAATTGGTGCGCCGTATTTGACATATATAACGTCGTATTACTTTCTCCTTGAATTTTCAGATGCGTCTGCGCCGATGGGTTTGTTGGAGATATTTGTCAATATAATAAAAATGAATGCATATCAAATCCTTGCCAGAACAATGGAATTTGCATTGATGGTGTTAACAGGTTTTATTGTGACTGCCCGGATGGCTGGACTGGTGATGTTTGCAGGTAATAATTTCATGCAATAGAAAACATCTTGTATTGATTTACTGTAAAATGCTATTAAAATTTGTATTTTCGTTCCATAGTAATTCAGTGCAGATCCTTTTCGGTAAATTCATCTTGAACAGAATATTCTAGGATGTTTTTTTTATAAGTGCAAAATAGTATCAATCATTTTGCTCTGTTAATTAAAGGCGATTCGTGCAAACTACTAGAAGAGGCTTGTTTCAAGGTCAGAATACAGGAGATCATTAAAGCTTGTCGTTGGATTCATAGAATTTTAATTTCTGTAAAGTTAAAACTCTGATATTCATTTTCCCAGCGAAGATATAAACGAGTGTGAAAGTTCTCCTTGTATTCCGAACAGAGGAACATGCGAGACACCGAGAATAGGAATGTATCGATGTAGATGCGTACAAGGATTTTACGGACAACGTTGTGAAAAAGGTTACTCACCCCCACCAGTTTATTCTATCAATTTCTTTATTTTATCTATTATATTTATAATTTAATATCACAATGTCGAAAATTATACCCAACGGAACCACCGACGTTTTCTGAGCACGTGATCCGATGGCCTTCTTCTTTTATTTCACTTGCTTTACTTTCGTTCAAAACAAAGGCTTTCAATGCAATGCAAAGTGAATGTTGGAAGCTATTGATTATCTAGTATACATTTTTAGATATTGAAGAATGTATCTCATTTCCGTGCTTAAATGGAGGAAATTGCATTGATTGGAGAAATAAATATTATTGTAAATGTGCAATCGGCTTCTCTGGCACTAATTGTGAAATAGAAACAGACGAATGTGAATCACAACCTTGTCAAAACGGTGCTCTATGTCGGGATGAAGTCAATAGGTAAGATATAAGATGTAGTTACATTGCAGTATTCGTATTTTCTGTCGATTATGAAGTGATTTTGGTACTGCCGTAATGTGTGTATCAAGTTAGGGTTAGGCCATAATTTTATTCCGATTTTCCTTGTTTTCTATTGCGAGTTCGGGAACTGTCTGTGTTAGCCAAGTGAATATACCCCCTCTCCATAGGTTTCAGTCCCTTTATACAACTTGATGTAAAATGGACGAACAAAATTAGTTATCTCCATATTGGTACACACACTTATGGAGTGCCGTGATTTTCATATTACAAGTGATTCATTTTGTTCTTTTTTTCATATATTTTTGATCATTTAATTTATGTAACCTTGTACAGATTTTCTTGTGAATGCACCAAAGGATTCCGTGGAATTTTATGCGAGGAAAATATAAATGAATGTAACGGCACAAATCCTTGTCAAAACGAAGGGAAATGTATCGATGAATCTCCGTTATTCAAATGCGAATGCGGGTTCGTACACATTTTTTTTCAATTTCATCTAATGTATAAGATTTAGGATGTCATACTTTTCATTGCATATTTCATGATATTCAAACTACTGTTAATACTAGAATTATCATTTTATTATTTTTTTTAATTTGACGAAATTAATTATTATTTATTTCGATTTCCACAATTTTAACCAACAATATTGATCGTAGGAATAACAAAATTTTATTGATTAACTGACTTCAAACATATGAACCTGGGTTTAAAAATCTTGATATTATATAATTCTTATAATTATATAATTCTATAACTATATAATATCATTATTTTCAACATTCGATTTCCTAGTTCGTTTGGGCCATTGAGAGCAATTTAAAATATATTATTGAAAATAATACTTTGTTTTCAGTCAAGGATTTATTGGAAAGTTATGTGAAGTTGATGTGAATGAATGCATAAGCGGACCTTGCGTTAACGGAGGTTCGTGTTCTCAACCCAAACCAGGTGAATACAGGTATGTAGTGAGATTTATTATTTCGGAAATGATTCTGACATAACAGGTTTACCCTTTCATCCCCCGCGTTTAACCCGTCTCACTGTCTTTTTCTAAGTCGAAATTAAAAAATCCTAAATCCATTTTTTTATTATCGGTTATTAAAGGGCATATAAATCAGAGTTTCCCATTCTCTCAGATGTCACTGCACGAAAGGTTATACTGGCACAAACTGCGAAACGGATATAAACGAGTGTGCTAATAACCCTTGCAAGAACAAAGGGACTTGTAAAAATGAAATCGGTCGTGCAACCTGCGAGTGTCCACCGGGATTCGGTGGCGATTTCTGCCAATCCAATCTAGATGAATGTGCATCTAAGCCTTGTCAGAACGGTGGAACTTGTGTTGATATGGAGGCAGAATTTACTTGTTTTTGCAAAGATGGATATTCCGGAGATCTCTGTCAGCTAGATATAAACGAATGTAACAGGTGAACTATTTTTTTTTTTAATTAGCTCAGGGAATAATTCGACTGGGATGTATATACAAAACAAAGATAAGGCGTTCGTTTAAGTTTGGTTTAATAGAAAATCTTAAGTCTCCATACCTCTTTCACGTTGCCTCTATAGTTTTAAAGATTTTGACTCTTTGTTTGGAATGGTGGAAAGCATTATCAAGTCTTTTCATCTAGTAAAATCTGGTCTATATAATTTATATTGTATAATTTTGGAATTATATTTGCATTTTTTTTAATTGTTTTCTCTCATATTTTAGTTATCCTTGTAAGAACGGGGGAAATTGTGTCAACAAAGTGAACGAATATTCCTGCATTTGTCCATCGGGGTACATTGGAGATACTTGTGAAGTATGAAGTTTTTTTTTGTACAACTTTTGTGAGGCGTAATTAAGTAGAAAGGTGAATAAAGCGTATTGCACACTATAGATCGAATGAACATAGATCCACTTTCTCGCCTGAGCTTCATTTCAAAGTCTTTTGTTCATCAAACTACTGTTAGATTAAATTTCAAGTCGTTTTTGCACCAACCTATGACAGATAATGGAAAGAACATGTATATGCAAAGGTTTTGGCGAAATGAATTTGTTTTATTTTGTTTGGACTATAAATATCACTTTTCCTCATAAGCCGGAATACATGTGTTGGCAAAGTGCTCTGATAATTTATAGGTAAACGTTAATGAATGCACAAGTCAGCCTTGCAAGAATGCAGGAACATGTGTTGACGGAATCGCTTCGTTTTCTTGTGTATGTGCTGCTGGTTTTGTAGGAAATACTTGTGAAATTGAAGTCAATGAATGCCAGAGTTCACCCTGTATGAATGGTGGTACATGCCAAGATCATTCACAAAGGTAACACGATTATTTTTATATAGTGCAGCATTTATTGAAATCAACTTGGAGACTATATTCCAACGGTTGGCAAACCGCGGCTCGCTGAAGTTTATTGCGGCTCTTCACGCTAGCATTAATTACCATCCAAATTTAAGTTAAAGTTACTGTAGTGTACTTTTTTTAGTATATTTAAGCGGTGAAAGAAATTTTCATCAATGATTAAGACATTTTATGTTTTTGTATAAAAACCGTTATTGCGTGGAATTTTAAATCAGTCAAGCGACAAATCTTTCGTCACAATGGTCAAATGTATGTTGCTGTGTTGGCGGCATTGCAAGTTGATTGCAGTTATGAAGCACTCCATACCTCTTTCACGTTGCCTCTATAGTATTAAAGATTTTGACTCTTTGTTCGGAATGGTGGAAAGCATTATCAAGTCTTTTCATCTAGTAAAATCTGGTCTATATAATTTATATTGTGTAATTATGTTTAATTTTTTTTTATTGTTTTCTCTCATATTTTAGTTATCCTTGTAAAAACGAAGAAAATTGTGTCAACAAAGTGAACGAATATTTTCACATAATACTGACTTGCTACATGCGGCTCTTATACCAAAAAATCCTGCCCACCCCTGAATTATTCCCTATAGTTTCGACACATAATATGGAGAAATGTTTTTTTCCAAATGATCCATCGAGTTTGATCCTTTCAATATTATCTATGGGTATGCTATGTACAGTAGTTCAATGTTATGGAAAGAACATTATGTTGATTGAAAATACCCAGATAAATTACCCTTCATGTAAAGCCTAATTCTGTTTACACAATCATGGGAAAGTAGCTTAGTATCTGTATTATTTGAAATTTTTTATGTGTTCGCGCTAATTACCTATTTTCTTCCTAATAGATATTCATGCTCATGTCTTTCTGGATATGAAGGAACAAGATGCGAACAGAATGTAAACGAATGTGGAAGTATACCTTGTCAAAATGGAGGAAGATGTGTTGATTTGATTAATAAATATATTTGTGAATGCATAGCTGGATTTCAAGGTTAAGATGCTTTTTTAGGTTATTTCTTCGAAATTCAAGTACAAGCTTTATTAACTCTTATATATGACATTGTGATATAATTGTCAAAAGAGCATTGATACCATGTCTTTGTTGATGACTACATGCTCGAAAGCTAGAAGAAATAGAATTCAAATCAAAATAAACCCAAGCGATTCTTAAATCGTTACTCCCGTAGTGTATGTAACAGGTTAGGGTTAGGCCATAACTTTATTCCGATTTTCCTCATTTTAGTTTTCTTACGAGTTCGGATACTGTCTGTGTTAGCCAAGTGAATATCCCCCCTGCCCATAGGTTTCAATCCCTTAATACAACTTGATGTAAAGTGGGCGAACAAAATTAGTTACCTCCATATCGGTACACTTCTGGAGCGCCAAATATTTCACTTATATATATATCATATCAAAAGTGATAATTTCATCAAAAGCTACTTTCTATTCCTAATCCAACCTAGGCATGTATAGAAAAGCTTGTCTAATTTCAAAGTACACGATTATATCACGAACGCAAACTTCCAACTTAGTGCATGCCTCTTTTCGTACAATTTTTTTAGCCATAAAGCAAAAACTACAAGTTCTAAACTATTGTTTCAATGTTGAATATATTATAATGATCCGAAAATCATCTTTAATATCTTGCAGGACTCAATTGTGAAGTCGATGTGAACGAATGCGATTCTAATCCATGCTTAAATAAAGGAACATGTGAAAGTGGTGTTAATTCATATAGGTGACAAATTGCCTGATATTGAAATATTTATATTTCGAATCCAGTTATATAAAGTGTTCCAAACTCAGCTGTATTTTTATTTTTCCCACTACGTATAAAAACTGAAGCTAATATTTAATGGCTGCACAAAAGTACCAACAACAATGTGCTGTTACTGAACGTGTCGCCAGTAGCATTTTTGACGCATTTGCCGTCGGCGTAACATTTCATCTCAATTTTTATTAAATTAACCAAGCTAATGAAAATCAACGCCTAGGTGCCATTGCCCGCCATCACATACTGGAAATTTATGTCAGAATCAAGTACAACTTTGTTCAATCGATATTTGTAAGAATGGTGGGAAATGCAGTGAAGACGGGGTATGGTGTTTCATTATTCTTCCATTTATTCGGTTCCTCTTTTATTGAAATTGTTAACAACATTCCCGTTTGATTAATGTTACGCTGTTATCTCATTCGGCATAAAGATCTCCTCTCTGCGAAAGAAATTTTAGATGAGCAGCCAGTAGACGTTAAAAATACTAAGTTCTAGGAGCCAAAGTGAAATATAAATTCAACCATTAACAAATTTTGTGGTCGTATCAAATAATTGTATCAACAGCACGTGAAGACATCGTTCACGAATTCATGAGAATGAAATGATAAAAAGTCTGATACGACACAGGTCTTGGTTATACAAAATGTTAGCAACAACACTTTGCAAATGGTAAAATATCTTTTACAAACACAGAATAAAATTGAATGTGAATGCGCTGTGGGTTTCTCTGGAGAAAGGTGTCAAATCAATATAGACGACTGCGCAGTTTCAGTTTGTGAGAACGGCGGTATTTGCATGGATGGACTTAATACTTTTACTTGTATATGTCGACAAGGCTATTTAGGAAAGTGAGTATTGTTATAGTCTTTAATTTCAAAGTAATGCCCTGTCTGTGAAAGTTTCATCTATAATGTTACAGATAATTCAAATAAGCAAAGTCTTTTGTATACAAGATCAAAAAATTGTAGTTTTCTTTCAGAACTTGTAATGACACATCCGAGGCAGAAGCAAATGCGTTGAAACAAATGCTGTTCTCCATAACTCCTGCAGCAGGAATATTAATACTGTGTATCATCGTCATTGTTATTGTGTTTTCCTGCTTGAGGAGGTCAGGTGTCAGTACGAAGGAGGCCCAAGATGTCAACAATTTGGCGGTAAGTAGGTATCGAACACAAACTGTCGAACATCATACTAAACATGCTGGTTTATTTGTGGTTGTTTGGAATCTTCAGGACATTTCGTTGGAGAACACTCAAAGAATGGATGATAAATCTACGCAAGATGATAGTATCAACAAAGAGGGTGAAAAGAAAAAGAAGAAGAGCAAAGGTGTTTTTACTTTGTTATTTGAAATTCATCAGTTGTGAATTGGTGCACACAGCGAACATGTGGTCCCGCTGTTTTTAGAATCGCCTATGGCCAAGTAATAGTAAATAGTAAGATAGGAATAGTAAATATACCGATAATATCAATTTATGCTGACGACCTCAACCAGAAAGTAAAAAATTTGTGTAGACCATGTGGAACAGTCGCATATTTATACATTTATTTACGTGTCTGGGTTTCTTGTCTATAGCATTGCCTGTGTTAGACACTAACTTTTTACCTATACCTTTTTCATGCTTTGATCTAATGGCGGTCTATTCGACCGAAATCACATCACTCCTACCTCTGGCCTATTATAATCGTATTATTATGATTATTATAATTTTATTGTAATAGAGAATGGAAAAGGTCAGCACACAAAATCTGACAAGACGCCAAGTAAGGCAAACAAAAAATCAAAAGCAGGAAAATTGGAAAATGGGGAAGTTGTATCCAAGGGCAAACCGAAAAAGAAGCGCAAAGATCTTCTAGCTGGTGAAGATGATTCAAAACCCAGTGACGTCGAACAAGACAATTTGATGTCGAAAGAAGATGACAAGATTGCTGAAAATAAGTAATGAAATTTTTTTACCTATGGCGTTTTTTATATTTGTAGATCAGCCAATCTAATGTATTTAATATTTCAGTGACAAAACAGACAAGAAGGAGAGAAAGCACAAAGAGAAAAAGAAAACAGAGATGGACGATGAGAAAAAGAACAAGGAAAGGAAGCACAAATCAGAGAGAGGTAAGAAAGATAACAATGAGAAAGAGAAAAGACGACCAAGAAAAGGAGAAGGAGATATTGAGAAAAAGCACAAAAGGAGAGGCAAATCAAAAGGCAATGAACCCGGAAGTAAAGAACTTCATGGAGAAAAGAAGCATCGCAAACACCGGGAGAAGGGCAAAAAATCGAAGACAACTGGTGAGTCCTACAAGTGTAATCTTTCGTGTAATGTAAATACTCAAGAGATATAAATCTTCAACCGAGTGCTATGTTAATATTTTACCTAGAACAATCGCCAAAAACCGAAATTAAGGATCCCGTTGATAGTGATGAGGAAGATAATTCAGCAAATATTCCTAATGAAATTGATGACGATAACTTTCCGGTAAACGAACAAATGAATACCCCAGAAGCAAATCAATCATCATCAGTATTGAATAGTCCAATATTAAAGGTTACCAAGATTTTTATACTTTCGTCAAAGCGTATTTTTATTGATTCAAAAACGATTTTATAGATAGCAATGTTCAACATATCTGACTGACAAGAAGCATGTACATAAATTAAAACAATCCAATTTAGAGTCATTTCAGCATTGGTTAGTTGAAATAATCGAAATTCCTTCATTCCAATGACAATTTTTACTGTTTTGTGGAATTACGTTATAATCAGCTTTATATCTCCAAAAAGTGTTATTGAAAACACATTAAGTTTATGCCGACCTATTACAATACAATTCATATGTAATTCCTTGTTTCTAACTGAATTTACTCGTGAATATTGGTAAATCTCCAGTCCTTCAACTTTATTGTACGTACTTGAATTCAACTTCAATTGTGTTGAGATGCCACCCCATTAAATAAAACGCATAGTATGTTCACATTCAATTTAAATTAAGTAAATTTCTGGTATATACAGGACAGAACTTCTTCACCTAATTTCGATTTAAAAGAAGAAAGTTCTGGAAACGAGGAACATGCTGCTGAAAATACGAATTACCAAGAAACTCATTCTCCGCGAGAACAAATAACTGAATTATCGGAACGAAATAACATTCCAAGTAATCTATTACAGATCTTTAGTTTAGTATGACCTTTGCTAAATCTTTAACTTTGCATAAATTATATTTGAAATCACCGACGTAATTGCATTTCGATTTTAACTATTCTGTTTTCATTGTTTATTTTACCTCCAGATTATCATCAAGATCTACCCATCAAAACAATATCTCCAAGAGAAAGAATCGGACGAGAACAAAGACGTCATCATTCCCAGCAACCGCAAAAGGGACCAGGTGAAATATTTAACTAAAAAAATATTCAACTTAGACATTGTGAATTAGCTTAGAGTTACATAAAAGTAGCAAATGCAAATAATTTCGTGTAAAATAGTTAAAAAAAATTTAATTCGTTTGTGGTAAATGTTTGATTTAAGTGAAAATAACCTTGTGTCGAAAGAAACGCAAAACGTGTTACGTCCTTTGCGCAATAATTGAATTTTCAAACAATAAATGCGACCGCCTAATAAACGACACAATAACGTTTTTACAATAAGGCAGGGCAGCATGTTATGTATTAAAAGACCTAATACGAAAAAGCAGTTTAGGTTGCTCATTTCTGTTATAAGTGCCATTCAAGGTTACAGTTTTCAATTTACCATTAGATCTTTAAATTACTTACTACAAATTCGTTTATAAAAATTCAGCTCCCTAGCCCTACTGTAGACGCCAAATTTGGAGTGCCTTTAGCGCCCACACCAGGTGTATTTCTTAGATGGTCGATCTGTTTTAGTAAACTGATTTTGTCACTCCAATGCAAAAAGACGCGTATAACAGTACAAGTTGATGTCGTTTATTGTCAGGAAAGTACAGGTGTATGAAGATACGTCGGTACGATGTTATAGGTATGATAATACAACAGTACGTGATTACGACAATACGTGGATACGAGAGTACGTCAGTACGAGAGTACATCAATACGTGTACGGGAAGTACGGCTTTCTAAATAAAACAAACAATAATTACACAAATAATGTGCCGGCAAGAAATAACTCGACAATTGAAATCATTAACTAAACAAAATTGTACACATTAGAACTGAACTTAACATACGCAGGTTTACGCCAGTATAATAACAGTTGCGGCTGATTACAAAAGTGGTCATTATAGAACACGGTACAACCGAAATATTCCTTAAATATAAAAACAATAAACTGAAATACGTACTTGACAGTGTAGCTTTCAGCTTACAAACAATCGACAGTTGATTGGGACAGTTATTGAAATTAAGTTAATGTTATTAAATCTTAAATATATGAAAATACAATTAAAACCTTGGAACTACAAATCTCCAGACAACGAAACCTTGCCACACAAATCCCACAGTCCTGAGAAGGTCGAATCAAGGTACTGAAGCAGCGCGCGCAGCAAACGCGCACGGGATATTATGATGTCACAATCACTTAAATCTGTGAACGTATGTACCACCAGCGCCTCCAGTGGTAAACAACAAAAATATAATGAAGCGAAAGAGGCAGTTTTCATCCCGGCCCCTTAGAAATTGAGAATTTGCCATCCACAAATTTGAAATTTCTACACACTCAAAAACAAAATCACAAAATTTAAAAACGAAATTGATCTCACATACACACAATTCAACTAGAGTCAAACGAAATGGGTTTTGCACACAACTCAATCAGAGTCACTTGCACACAGAAGAATTAATTTAGTAATGGGCTATCTAAGATTGAATGGTTGGTTTGCACCGTAGCAGAACGTACACGGCCTTTGTTGTCGGAAATCGTTCCAATGATTCTACCCAACAGCCATGCATTTCTTGGCAAATTTTCATCATCACAAGTACAACATCATTCTTAGCTAAATTCCTTTGAACTTTGTTCCATTTTTGTCTTGTTTGAAGCAGAGGAAGGTATTCTCGTCTCCATCTTTTCCAAAACACATCAGCTAAGTATTGTACTTGTTTCCATCTCTTACGAACATATAAGTCTTTAGCATCAATACTCCTGGAGGATCGGTTCTTCTTTCAACAACAACAAATTGTTCGGGCTCAAAGGTGTCAAATCTTTTGGATCATTGGATACAGTTGTTATTGGCCTTCCATTCACTATGGATTCACATTCACACATAAGTGTAATTAAGCTTTCATCAGTTAATTTTTGTTCTCTGCAAATAGTGTTGAAAATTTTTCTAATTGTTCTGATTTGTCTCTCAAAAACTCCACCATGGTGAGAAGCCGCTGGAGTTTGAAACAGCCACTTGATGTTCTTTTGCAGCAAAAACCTATGTATTTGATTCTGATTCCAAGTCTTGATAGAATTTCTCAATTCTTGTTCTCCAGAGACAAAATTTGTTCCATTATCTGATCTTATTTCAACTACTTGTCCTCTTCTTGAAATGAATCTTCTAAGAGACATTATAAAGGCACTTGTATCTAGGCTATGTGCAATTTCAACATGCACTGCACGAGTCACTAGGCAAGTGAAAATAACACCATATCTTTTTACTTCGCTTCGTCCTTGACGAACAAGAAATGGACCGAAACAAGAGCGACAAAAGAGAAAGGTATACAGTTGTTGAGAATCTTTCGTGTCATTGCATTTGCTTTTATAATCCAGAACTTTTGATGTAATTCAGCAATTACATATTCTCTGCCACTATGGCCTGTAACTTGATGAGTATGTTCAATAATCAAATTAGCAATAGAACTCTTGTTTGGAATTATTATAGGATGTTTTGCGTCATATTGAAGACTCGATGCTCCAATTCTTCCACCAACACGGAGAAGACCTTCTTTCATAATAGGCTGCAATTTACACACTGGACTTGATTTTGGCAATTGTTCACCTTTGGCCAATAGATTAATTTCCTTTGAATAATATTTGAATTGTTCATTTTTGATTATTTCCAATTCTGCCAAGTTCACTTCATCCACAGATAAAAATTTATTATTTCCACTCCCCAAATTGCAAGAAACATCCTCTCTGACCTTGGAAAGCAGTGCTCGCTTGTAACGTAAAACCCATGCTACAATCTTCTTCATTTTGAACCAATTTGAATATTTAGTAGTAACTTGGTCTAATACAGTAGGTATATCTGTATTTAGAGCAAAACACATCTGTGAATGTGGACTCTGCTTTTTAAATTCCAAATCCTTATCATTCATTGAATGCAGGAAATCTGGTTGTTTAGGCCATTCTCCTGATTTTTCCATAAAAATTCTGGTCCAAATTTCCATTGTGGGTAGTTCAAAAATTCATCAGCAGACATGCCCTAGATGCAACATCTGCAGGGTTTAATTTGGAAGGCACATAGTACCATTGATTCACATCAGAAACTTCTTTGATAACATTCACCCTGTTTGCAACAAAAGTTTTTAGAACTTTATCAGTATTTGCCAAATATCGTAATACGGTGGTGCTATCCGTCCAAAATATCGATGCATCAATTGGGAGCTTGAGTTCTTTACGAAAGAATTTTTCATTTCGTGCAGATATTGTTGCTGCACATAACTCCAACCTGGGAATCGTTGAGCCTTTGAGAGGTATCAAACGACTTTTACCACACAAAATTGAGCAATGAATTTGTCCAGAAAAATTCTTTAAACGTATATATGAAACAGCACCATAAGACTTTTCGGATGCATCTGAAAAGTGATGAATTTGTATTTCTGTGGTTTCACCGAAATTAGCAGGTAAAAAACATCTCGGAATAGTGAAATCTTTCAATTTGGATAATTCTGATATCCACTTTAGCCATTCCTGTTCACACTCTGTAGGAATTGAATCGTCCCATTCCAGCTTCTTCCTGCACAATCCTTGCATAAGGACCTTCATAGGTTGAATGACCGGCTGGCCAATGCCAAGAGGGTCAAATATTGAGTTCACAACACCCAGCATACCCCGTCTGGTAGCTGGTCGTTCAGTGTATTTAGTACTGAAACTTAATGTATCTTCATTTGCGTTCCATATCATGCCAAGAGCTCGCTCAACAGGCAATTCATCTATAGAGATATCCAAACGCGTTGCTTCCTTCGATCGGTGAGCTTCTGGAATTGAGGCCAATACTTCACGGTCATTGCTCACCCATTTTGTCACTTCAAAACCGCCTTTAGCAGCAATTTCAGTTACACTCTTTATATGTTGGAGGGCACTAGCAGCATCCGGTTTGGAATCACAAAAATCATCAACATAAAATGAATCATTAATTGCATCAATCACACTTTGTTCAAAATCATTTTTGTTATCTATTGCAGTTTGTCTCAAAGCGAAGTTGCAACAACTTGGAGAGCACACAGTTCCAAAGAGAAAAACCGACATTCTATAAATTTTCATGGGTAAAGTGATGTCACCATTTTCCCACCAGAAGAAACGGAGGAAATTTCTATCACATTCTTTCACCTTTACCTGATGAAACATGGACCGTATATCCCCTTGAACAGCTACAATATTTTTGCGAAAGCGTGACAAGACTCCAACTAAATTATTTGTTAAATCCGGCCCCTGTAACAGGATGTCGTTAAATGAAATTCCTTCTGATTTTGCTGAGCAGTCAAATACAACCCTTAACGTTTTCTTCTCTGGATGACGAACTCCATGATGGCTGAGGTACCAAGTCCTTCCTTCTTCTTCATTGGTATTCAGAACTTCTTCAGCATACCCCATTGTTATCATATTTGCAACAAAATCCTTGTATTCTGCATAAAATTCCGGTTCCTTGTGAAGACGACGCTTTAATGATTCTGCTCGCTGCAAAACTTGATATTTATTTGAGTGCAACTTAACATCAGGGTTCTTCAATGGTAAACCTATTTCGTAATGTCCATCAGTTCTGAGCTTAATTGACTTACTAACTTTGTCGAGAAAAACTTGTTGAATTGGTGAAACCTCATCTTTTTCATTAATTGCAGAATCAACAACATCTGCACACATTTGGCACAAAGGATTTAGTTGAGATTTGGTGAAATATGTAGAATTTTTGGTATTTCCATTTTTCGCAGGGCAGTTAACCATCCATCCAGCAATTGTCTTCGATGCAAAATAATTGTTTGGGCCATAAATCACTTCCAATGGTTTATGCAAACCAAGATTATCTTTGCCAATCAAGAGCTCCACATCACATTCTACTTTGGGTAGCACAATACCATTAAATTCTTTAAATTGATCAAGATCACTTTGTGTAGGGATATCTGTTTGATCAACACCAATTTGATCGTTTGAAAACAAGGGATTTAACCTTACATATTTTGACTCCTCAAAATCTGCCAGTTCGAGGTTCTT